GAAAAAAAAAACTTCATGTTTCTATTTTTCCGCAATATCCGCAAACATAATGTTTAAAATGTTGTTCGAATCATCAAATTTCACGTAGAACTTTGGACATTATGGCGTCCCGGCAAAAGAACGCGTTTGATAAATAATATATAGACTACTAGCTGACCCGGCAAACGTTGTTTTGCCATATAAATTGTTTGTAGAGTAGAAAAAAATGTTTGGGGTGGACCACCCTTAACATTTAGGGGGATGAAAAATAGATGTCCGATTCTCCACCATGGCCGACATGCGCAAAAAATTTCACCAAAACCGGTCGTGCCGTTTCGGAGGAGTTCAATAACAAACACCGTGACACGAGAATTTTATTTTAATATTTAATTATTTTATTATATTTGAAGATTATGAACATTGTATTTTACGATTGACGAATGTTTGCATCGGTCATGATAAAACATGGAACTTTATTGTTGTATTACGCTACCCAGACGATGCCTCGATGAGATTTTTATTCCATTGGCATAAAGGCCCATTTACACGATGCCATTTTCTTGTACATATAAGAGCAATAAGTTGCACGCAATAATTGACCATCAAGAATTGTAAGCAACAGTTTACACGCAGATATAGTAAAAAAAATTGAATGCGATTATTGAATGCAAGTCTTGACAGGAAATAATTGCAAAGGTCTTTTGTTTACACCAATGCAATTATGTTTAGGCGATTATTGCTTTTAAGTTTTGACTTGTCTAAACACATGCTTGTATGTGCGTGTACAATTTATTGGCGTGTTGCTTCAAGTATTGCACGTATTTGCGTTGACAAATTTTTCATGCAAGTGTTGAACGTTTTACAAATGGCTGTTTTTTTTAAAAATGGCTCAATAATAAGTGTTCAAGTTAGATTATGCCAATTAAATATATTTCATTGAGATTTATTTATTATGATCCATATATTATTATTTATATTTTTATCCAAACTTTTTTTTACGACCTTTTCTCAATATTTCTATCCTCAAAAGAACAGCAATGATTAAATACCGTCACTCATTGCACTAATTTTTGCAAAGGAAGAGAGAATGCAATTGAATACAAGAATTGCTTAAGAAATTATTGTGTGTGCTGTTTACACCAAGGAAAGTTTTGAAACAAAACTTGAAGCAAGTCTTGTTCAACAGTCAAGAATGTTATGTGCTGTTTAGACAATGCAACTCATTTATTGCTTCAATTTAATTGTATATAACAGGCAAGAAACTTGCACCGTGTAAATGGGCCTTAACTATCAGGCTGCGCGACAATTGCATCACGCAAAGCGTGTGGTGTGTAAAGACGCCGATACACTAAATAAAGGAAGTTTAAAAAGTAAAGTGACAGCCTATACATGTCCCACTGCTGAGAAAAGGCCTTCCTTACACACACACACACACACACGCGCGCACGCACACACACACACACACACACACGCGCGCGCGCGCACGCACACACACACACACACACACACACACACACACACACACACGCACGCACGCACGCACACACGCACGCACACACACACACGCACGCGCGCGCCTATGATTCATACAAACATACAACATGGCAAACTTTAAATCTGCAATAAAGTATATTCCATTCTATTCTAGAACAGATATCTGTAGGTTGCACTAATCCGTTGCAAAGCAGTTGGAGCCCAGTCGGGCGTTCTATATGTCACAGGCGGTGTTAATTTAACATCAGGTGAACCGTCTGCCCGCTTGCCAATGTTTCATATTAATAAATGAACAAAAAAAACCGACTTCAAACAGGAAACGAATAAATTATCAACGCCTATAACATTTGAGGATTGCCCTCGATTTCTCTGGCATGCCATCATCAGATCTGGGTTTCCTCATCGTGGTACCACCCTGGGATATCTCCTTTCCACAACAGCAAAAAAAGAATCATCAAAATCGGTTCATAAATGACGAAGTTATCCCCGAACACACATAGAAAATAAATAAAAGTATATACGGTCGAATTGAGAAACCTCCTTTTTTGTAGTCGGTTAAAAAGCGACGTGTGCCGCCCGCCTAAGCGGGTGACGTACGCTCCCCGTACGCCTCACGCATTCAAAAGGGGGTCATCGACTACACGAGAGGTCGTCTCGAAACGCGACACGACAATTAACTGTCATACAGCCGCCTTACTCCTCGAATTCGATTCGAATTTGTTTCTGTTCTCGATTCCAACTCGATTCGAAAAACTCACTCCCGAACCGGATCGAAACTAGAAACGAGAAACGAGATCGTACAAAATCAAACGCTTCAACCGTATCCAGGCCTATTACGTCACGGACAAATGTTCCACGTTTACGGTGGTTACAACATCTTTCTTAGATGACATTTTAAATGCTTTATTTATTTATTTATTTTTCGGAAAATTATTCGATCTTGGTTTCAACACAGCCACCACTCGATTGTCTGTTGACGTCAGATCCAGTGGTGCGAACCGCCAGGAGTTCGAGTCGGGAGTAGGCCCGCTGGTCTCGTAGGCATTGGCAGTTCGACGTTTCAAATGACGACCCAACCGGCCTAATGCGTAGTGGACCCTGCCTCCTGCGCCAGAGGGTGTGGGTTCGATCCCCACTACTGGAAAAATATTGTGCGATGAACATTGTGTTTTTCCAGTGTCTGCGTTTATATATGAATTATATGTATTTATTTAAAAAAACGAGTTCGCAACGAAGACATCCGCAGTAGAACGAACTAAGATAACCGACATAGCTCAGAGGATTAGCGAGCTGAAGTGGCGATGGGCCGGCCATATAGCTCGGAGAACCGATAACCGTTGGGGAAGAAAGGTTCTCGAGTGGCAGCCTCGTACTGGCCATCGCAGTGTAGGACGACCCCCCACTAGATGGAGTGACGACCTGTGCAAATGTGCGGGAAGTCGATGGATGCAGGTGGCTCAGGATCGTGCTTCATGGCAGTCTGTGGGGGAGGCCTATGTTCAGCAGTGGACTCAAAGAGGCTGAAATGATGATGATGATGATGATTTAAAAAAAGAAAATTATTCTTGAGCATGTCTATCAATTATCTAGTGCCCATAGTACAAGCGTTGCCTATTTTGAGCTTAGAAAACGTTGTATAAAAATGTGTCCTGAAATATTAAATGGGTCTCGGCGTTCGACATAATAATAACCAATAAAACCGGCGAGTGCTAGTCGGACTGGCGCACGAATAGTTCCGTACCATTGATTATCTATAAAAACTGCAAAAAAATCATGTCTGTTGTATGGGAGCCCCACTAAAATACTTATTATTGTTTTTTTAGTATTGGTTGTTATAGCGGCAATAGAAATACATCATCTGTGATAATAACAACTGTCTAGCTATCACGGTTCATGAGATACAGACTGGTGACAAGGCCGTTATTGATATTTTCATAAATATCGATATATTTCTTCACTTTAGGCATCACTATCGCGAAACGATGGTAGATTTAAAAAATGACTACCGATAGATGAAATGTATATATATTTCTTACTGCGATCACAATAAAATTCAAATATCTTTATTCAATACTGTTAAGTCTGAATGTTAGGCTGAAGGCGTAACATTCAGACAGGAAGACAGATATACATACAAATATGTACATAAATTATAGCCTATATCTTATTCTGATGCATAAACTGTATTATTGTAAAGTTTCATTAAAATCGATTCAGTAGTATTTGCGTGAAAGAGTAACAAACATCCATACATACAATCTTTCATTTTTATAATATTAGTAAGGATAGAAGCATTAAAGCAATCGAATCTAATGATTGTCACAACCAAAGAAAAGCCACCTGGCCTGAGAAGAACCGGCGAAAGAAACACAGCGGGTCATTTCTTTACCATTATGTCTATTTTTATGAAAAAAAAAACATGTTCACAATTTATTAAAGTCCACTTGAAATAGCCTGGAGCGATCAATTCATTTCCAGGCTGTGTCACCAACATTATAAATAGCCTTTAACACACAAATGTTCCTTTACAAGTTTTTTGAATTTAGCTAATGATAAAACATTGTGGATGTTTTCTGTGATTTTGTTGTAAAAAAACAGATACATCGTCCCATAAAACAATTGCTTCATCTACGCAGCCTAGGCAATCCTCCAGTAAGTTACGTGGCTTATGTTGACTAGCCGTGATAGCTCAGTGTCCGGACGCTCGCCTTTAAATCAATACACTCGAGCAACCTGAGTTCGATCCCCGGTTCCGGCACTAACGAAATTGTTGATTTTATGTGCTGACTTATCAAAACATCGTGAGGTAACTTGCATATTTTCGAAATGATAACAAAAAAATATTTCGAAGATATGTTAAGTCCGCCAATCCGAAGTGGGGCCGCGTGGTAGACTATGCCCTTTGCCCAGCCGTGGGACATGTATAGGCTGTTACTTTACTTTTTTTTAATGTAAGAAAGTGGCAAACGGGCTTGCGGTTCACCTGACGTTAAGTGATAACCGATACCGTGATAACACCCGTAGGGCAACCAACACCGTTGCAAATGCGTCGCCACCTTTAAATAAAGTGGGCCCCGGCTACCTCACCAGACGAAACGCAGAATTATAACACTCCTAATTTACTCCTAATTTCCTCGGTCTTCTGCGAGGTCGTGGTACTAACCCGGACGGACCTGCCCATTCGTGCAACAGAGAGCACCGTTGCCTGGCACTACCACAGTTGAAGTTGACGACCCGAATGGCGTAGTCGGTAGGGTACCTGCCTTCTGCCCCAGAGGGTGTGGATTCGATCCCCACTACTGGAAAAATATTGTGTGATGAGCATAGTGTTTTTCTAGTGTCTGGGTGTTTATATATGTATAACGTGTATTTATCTACAAAAGAAAAGTATGTTTAAGTATGTCTATCAGTTTTCTAGTACCCATAGTACGAGCGTTGCTTAGTTTGGGACTAGAGAACGTTGTGTAAAAAAAATGTGTGTGTCCTAAATGTTACTTTGTCGTTTACTTTCATCTTTGGCCCAACAGAGGAAGTCGGAGCCGGTCATCTTGGAGTACTTCGAGCACGGCGACACCAACGCCGCCGCCGAGGACCTCCTGGAGTTCGTCACGGCCAAGAGGAGCCACCTGGTGAGTGGCCACCGCCAGATATCTTGAGTTGGGGACGGACGCGTCCAGTTCAGTTAATGATGGAACGGTATGGTTCTATATTTGAATACAACGGCAATGTCTTAAGTGTTTTATTCCCCTGTTGGACCTGGTGTAATGCCAATTCGGTGTGGGCAGCCCGAATTGGACAGGGTACTTCGACTTGCCTCTGACTAAGCGACTCTGACTAACTTAATATGAATCCCTTTGCATTGCAAAGGAATTCATATTAATAGGCTAGGAATGTAACTTAGTTTAAAATCAATTAATTATAGTTTAATTTTACCGCAATAAATAAAAGCATCTCGAGGTCACCTGCTGGTCTGCTGATATTGGAGATAAACATTTGGACTATACCGAAGAACTTATTCCCCTGCCTTAATATAGAGCACAGGGGAGGTGTTCACACCGCTTTGGGTGTACAAAGACTGTCTTTTACTGTCTGCTCTTGATGAAGAAGTAGTTGTGAGGAAGAAGATGAGGATATTTTAGAAGATGAGGAGGAGGGATACAAATACCCTTTTTGGGAAAAATATATTATGAAGCAATAACAATTAAGACAATTCCTTTGTTTTTTTTTATATAAGATAAGAAAAAATAACTTTTATAGCACAAATTTCTATTTATTAGTTTGGAGTTAAAAATAAAAGCATCTCATTCTAGACAGTGCTATTGTGCTTCTAAGTGACTCCATCATAATATGAGGAACAGATTTCTTTTAAATTCATTTTGTGGAAAAGGATGAGAAGGAGAATTTTTGACAAAATGTTGAAGTAGAACTTCAACAAATTATTAAAAAGAACGAGGAATCCTCGTTCAAAGTCAAATTATCTTTATTCAATATAGGTTTAACTTAAGCTCTTATTGAACGTCAACAAAAAACTACCACCGTACTACCATTAATATACTACCATTAACGCTTTGGCTACTGACCCTTGCCAGGGCCTAAAGTGGTGACAGCTCAGCCCACCATTACTATACTACCATTAACCCTTTGGCCACTGCCCCTTGCCGGGGCCTAAAGTGGTGACAGCTCAGCCCACCATTACTATACTACCATTAACCCTTTGGCCACTGCCCCTTGCCGGGGCCTAAAGTGGTGACAGCTCAGCCCACCATTACTATACTGCCATCAACCCTTTGGCCACTGCCCCTTGCCAGGGCCTAAAGTGGTGACATTCCAGCCCGCACAGTGTTCTAACAGTGTCTCCATCTCCCGATTGCAGGTCTGCGAGACGATCGTCGAGATAGCCCTCGACCACAAGCCCTCCCACTGCGAGATGGCCTCCGTGCTGATCTCCGACCTCTACGGCAGGATATTCTCCGCGAAGGACATCGGGCTAGGTGCGTCTGTTTAACCGCGCAGTACTCTCGCCTCGATTCCCAGTCCAGCAGAAGTTCATTTCTCAAGAGTATTTTTTTACTAGCCGCTGCCCCTAACGTCTTCGCAGAACAGGCTGAAGGCGTAAAATTCAAACAGAAAGACAGATATACATAAAAATATGTATATAAATTGTAACCTATGTTTTATTCTGATGTATAAGCTATATTATTGTAAAGTTTCATTAAAATCCATTCAGTAGTATTTGCGTGAAAGAGTAACAATCATCCATCCATACATACAAACTTTCGCCTTTATAATATTAGTAAGGATTTTTACTGGCCAGTACCCGCGGAGACGTAACTTTTAATTGTAAAATTTTACGTATAGACGAACAGAGACTTTGGCGGGCAAAATTTACACGCCGCGAGGTCATTGACCGCTTAGGTTAATTAGTAAATTATATTTAGGTGTCCATGGGCGGCGGTTATCACCTACCATCAAGTGAGCCTCCTCGTATGCCGCTTTTTTCCCCCCATAAAAAAAAAACCTGCGCATTAGTGCAACAGCGAATACTGTTGCGTGGCCCTGGCGCAGTAGAATAAATAATAAAGGGAAACCAATTTAATAATCCCACACCGTACTAGCGTTCGAGCGTCTGCTGGAGAAGCTGCCCGACCTGGTGCTGGACACGCCCGACGCGGTGGTGCTGCTCTCCAATTTCATCGCGCGCTGCGTAGCCGACGACTGCCTGCCGCCGCGCTTCGTGCAGGTGCACGCGAGCGACGACCTCAACCCGCACGCCAAGTACGTCGATCCGCTTACATCCACCGACATCTACCGACATCCACTGTCAAACACCGACACTCACTGACATCCACCGACGTCCAGCGACACCCACTTTCAACCATTGACATACACTGACACCCAATGTCAACCACCGACACCCACTGACATCCATCGACATCCACCGCCACCCACCGCCACCCACTTACATACAGCGACATCCACCGACATACAGCGACATCCACCGACATACAGCGACATCCACCGACATACAGCGACATCCACCGACATACAGCGACATCCACCGACATACAGCGACATCCACCGACATACAGCGACATCCACCGACATACAGCGACATACATCCATCGACACCCACTGATATCTACCGACACCCACTGACTTCCACCGACACCCACCGATATGCACCGAAAACCGAAAACAAGGACAAACAAAGCCTGCACTAATATACTCGGCAAACAAATCTTTCATACCGACCATTCTCTTTTTGCCCTACCGTAGCAAATGGAAATTAGAAACTTGTGGTCACATCTTATTATTTTAACCGTTGTAGTGTCATGCACTACTTCTGCTGGTGGTTGTTTGGGTCGACTGAGGAGAGTCTCATAGACCTAGCCTAAAGTTGAAGTATTTATGTATACTTCACATATCCTCTGATGACAGAAATGTCCCTGGTCCACTTTTGAAGGTGGAACAACAAGCCCACTGTTGAATGTCCATAAGCCATAGGTGAGGGTCATTACATAATATCAGGTGAACCAGGGTTGTGTGGAAAAGGCCGCACAACCTATTGTCTAAAAAATTACAAAAGCAAATAGGTTTCATATAAACACTATGTAGTTCTTATTTTTACAGGAACACTATATGTGGTTAAATGAAACTATTGTACAGAGCTCATTGTCTTCATTTTGATTTTTTTTTACATAATGCAACTGAAATCGTGATCAAGCAGCAAAATAGTATTATTTAACCATATAGTGTATGGACAATGAATATAGAGAATAATCAATGTTTCTTAAATGTTACAGGCAGGCCATACACAGGGCGGAGACCCTCCTATCCATGAAGCAGGGTCTAGTTAGGCTGGACAACATCTGGGGTGTTGGAGGCGGCATCAGGTAACTTATATTAACCTTAATCACCAACATCACAATATATGGCCTTACTTAAGAGTTAAGCTAAGTTAAGTTAAGTTAAGCTTAAGTACTGTTACAGGTTACACTAGCCACTTTAACTTATTGGGGATAACCTGTTAAAAAAAAATATAAACGTAAATTTTATAGCTTCGATAGAGTTTACTGCAAAATCTGCATAGTTCATTTTCTGTTCATGGTTCAACTAGGTTACGTGTAGTCCAAACTTTTTCCACTCGGGTCACTAGAGCTACTACATTACAGAATAGCATACATAACATATTGCACAAATAGATCAGCTCCATTTAGAAAACACTGTGCCCTCACAGAACACGGGCAAAGAGTCCAGCACTAAAATGTGATTTACAAACAATGCTGAATAGGATTTGACCTGATTTGAGTCGGCACATTTTACACAATGATTATATCATTCCTCACTACTGGATAGTGGGAAAATATTTAAGCCAAAATGAAAGTATGTTTGAATCAAGCAAGAATTAAACTCTATATGTACAGTACTGAAACCTTATTCAGACGGTGCCATTTATGACGGTGACACCCTGCTTATATTTTAAACTAGCAAATAAATATTTTTAAAACATAAATAAATAAATAATTTTAGTTCTCTAGTCCTAAACTAAGCAACGCTTGTACTATGGGTACTAGATAACTGATAAACATACTTTTCTTTTGTAAATAAATACATATTCTACATATACAGCGTGTCGTTACCATCGCGACAATAAATGAACACACGTCTAACGCTACGTGCCAATAATCATAAAAAATATTAACGTTAAACAAAATCCATAATAAAAAAAAAATATTTTTCAAACAAACTAATTAAGTAAAAAAGAAAGAAAATTTGTAACATCCTATACAACTCGCGCCACAGCGTCGTATTACAAGCCTCTCCTTCTAACACTATGTTTTGTCTCTTTTAAATTCATTCAACCAATTCATATATTTTGTGACCTTTACAAATGAACTTTACGTTACGCTTTTATAGGTGAGGGTGTTCTAAAATTCTTTGTTTTGGAAAATTTAATAACTCTGTAAATATTGATGTTTAAAGAATTTTATTGTTTAATACAACTTAAAAAAGTTATCCCCTATATCTGTGTTCATTTATTGTCGCGACGGTAACGACACGCTGTATACACACCCAGACACTAGAAAATCACTATGTTCATCGCACAATATTTTTCCAGTAGCTGGAATCGAACCCACACCCTCTGACGCAGGAGGCAGGTACACTACCCACTCATCATAATAATCTCTCTCTCTCTCTCTCTCTCTCTCTCTCTCTCTCTCTCTCTCTCTCTCTCACACACACACACACACAAACGCGCGCGCGCGCGCTCGCGCACGCGCACGCGCACGCGCGCTCGTTAACATAAATAGTAATTATTCCTCCCGTTGTATAAACTTACAAAAAAATGTAAATTGTCGTAACTTCTTAAATGGCTAAATACTTTTGTGAATTATATTTCGTTATGTGATTATTGTACGCTGTGAAATTTCCGAATAAAACAAAATAAATAAATAAATAATGATGGGCGCATATACTTCATTCACCTCCCACTCTCTGTAGGCCTGTGAAATGGCTGATCAGGCAGATCCAACTGCTGCTCAAGGAGTACCTGACCTCCGGGGACCTAGGCGAAGCGATGCGCTGCGTACGAGAACTGGAGGTGCCCCACTTCCACCACGAGCTGGTCTATGAGGTGAGCAGACGCTATAAATAAATAGTAAATAAATAAAGCCTTGTTTATAATTTAATAAAAAAAATTACATACTGTGATATTTAATACAATTCGAAAATTTTAAATAATATAAAGTAGATTAAATTGATTAAATTAAATTTAAAAAATAATTAAAAAAGAAAAAACATGAATTAAAATTGATAAAACAGAAATAGATTTGAGTAATTTAAATTAAAAATAAAATAAAATTAATTTCATTATTACATGCAAAACAAATCTATGAGCAGACGCTATAACAGAAGTACATTTTGTGACCTGATAGAAAAAAGGCTTTACAAGATAAAATAATAAGATAAGGCCCACGAAATAAACACATACAGAACATTATTAATAAATGTTTGCGGTTACTAACAGAATACCATATTAAGCGCTGTTATCTACAGAAATATGGAAAGTAACAGACATGGAATACTTTGACTCTATTCTATGGTCCCACAGCTACAAAATCAAATTCTAATATCTTTATTAAATATAGAAGCATTACGCTTACTTATTGATTGTCAAAAAACACTACTACCGGTTCGTAAAAAAGCTACGGATCTGAGAACCGGCAAAAGAAATTCAGTGGGATATTTTTTTTATATGATTTAAAAAAAAACATGGACTTATACAAATAGATTTACACTCAATATTGGCTTGCATTGATACACCTGTGATGTCTTAGTCATTGGTGGGAAATAATTTGATCCATTTATAAAACTTTTTTAAACAGTTTGATTGATGTGATTCAAGCTTACTTTGGTCACAAACCGCACCACATTTTTTTTCTATATTTGCCATTAGATTATTTAGATATTGTTTTAGTTTTTGTTAACTTTTTTATGCTCAAAGATATTCACAAGTTTATTGTTATGGCCCATTTGCTAGATCCAGGCATCAGTACTTTTTTTCTAATTCGGAGCTCTTTTACATGTTTACTGTATATTTATCCTTTGCGCTGTTGCCAAAGTACGCCGTGGTAAATCGGCGTCAAGGTCGTGGGTTTGATTCCCACACGGGACAACTATTTGTGTGACCAGCAGATAGTGCTTTTGCATCTGGGTTTTGTCCATGTGAAATTTAATTTTGTTTGTAAAACGTCTTTACAACACATGATAATGTTATCCTAAAGTGAGAGCAATGTTTCAATTAATCAAAATTGATTATGTTTAGTAAGATGAGAATTTAAAAAAAGACCAGAACAGACATTCTCCCTATTCTTAGTCCGACATGGAGAATACATAAGAATATTGAAATATAACATATCATTCTTATTAACAAAAAATCAAAACCGACTTCAAATATCTCACTTTCTATACATTTCCTATGTCCAAGGTCCGATAACAATGAGAGGGGACTTTACCCGAACCTTGGGTGAGGAAATAGAAACCAATAACATTAATGCTATCGTTTTCTGCAGACCGTCCTCCTGGCGGTGGAGTCGATCAACTCCAGCGTGGAAGAGCAACTGTGCACATTCCTGGCGGAGCTTCGCCGATGCGTCATCGTCACCCCGGACCAGATGGACAGGGTGAGGGCGCTTCCGGGCTCGGTTCCCGACGAACAATTTTATATTTAGGGGGAGATAACTGCGCTAGGGCCACGCAACGGTCTTCGCTGTTGCATGACTGGGCAGGTCCGTCCGGTTAAACACCACAATCTCACAAGAAACCGGCTTAAAGTAAGTCTGCGTTTCGTCTGGTGAGTGAGCTAGCCCGGGCCACTACATTTAAAGGTGGCAACGCATCTGCAATCCTACGGGTGTTACAAATGTCCATGAGCGGCGGTTATCACTTAACATCAGGTGGCTCGTTTGCCACTTTTTCACATAAAAAAAAGAAGAGATAACTGGTAGAGCCACGCAACGGTCTTCGTTCTTGCACGACTGGACAGGTCCGTCCGGGGAAGTACCGCGACCTCGCAGAAGACCGGCGTCAAGTGGAAGTGTCAGTGAGTGGGGTAGCCGGAGACCACTTTATGAAAAGGTGGCAACGCGTGTGTAAGACTATGGGTGTTGCAAATGTCCATGGGCGGCGGTTGTCACTTAACATCAGGTGAACCGCCAGCTCGCTTGCCATCTAAAAAGGTGGTTACTTATCACGGTCGCCCGCGGAAATCTTCAACACCTGACGGACAGCACAGTTGTTGAACATTAAAAATGTGGGCCCCTTTTACCTCACTCACCCAAACGCGAAAATATAACACTTTCACTTCACGCCAGTCTCCAATGACGCTGTGGTACTTCGGACGAGCCTGGTGTTGTGAGCCAAACGTGGCCTTACCAAAGTAGACTCCCTACCTCATTATAATTGCTTACCCAATCTAATATATAGAAATTAGTGTCAATTCAATAAAATTTTTAATGTAATGGCTCGCATCAACGATACGATGTCGTCTGTTTGTTGGTTCGTATTTAATGACTTGCTGTACAGTTCATCTGATTCCTATAAGACTAGAGTATAAAAGTAAAGTAACGGCCCATATGTACAGAGGTTGTTAAGGTAAAGTTCACCACGCAATCCTGCTGCGCACTGGCCCAAGTCTTCAAAATATTTTGTTTGTTATGATTGTCTAAATATGCAAGGGCAGGCGGATGTCATCATTCCCATATTATTCTAACACCCCTTCTTGAGGTTGATACAATTATGATTCCGTGGCGCAGTTGCCAAGGTACCGGCTTCGGCGTCGGGGGTCGTGGGTTCTATTCCCACACGGGACAACTATTTGTGAGACCCACAGACAGATGTTTCGCTTCTTGGTGTTTGTCCGCGTGAAGTGTATGCGTATAAAACGCCCTAACAACACAGGATTGTGTTATCCTAAAGTAAGGGAAGTGTTATTTAAAAAAATAGAAGAAATTATTGACGACCCGATGTTGTAGTGAGTAAGTGTATCTACCTCCTGCGCCGGTTCCATCCCCACTACTGGAAAAATATTGTGTAATGAACGTAGTGTTTTTCTAGTGTCTTTGGTGTTTATATATGTTTTTATTTAAAAACTTTAAATTTAAATTTAAGAAAAGTATGTTTAATTATATATGTTTTTATTTACAAAAGAAAAGTATGTTTTATTATGTGTATCAGTTATCTAGTACCCACAATACAAGCGTTGCTTAGTTTGCTACAAGAGAACGTTGTGTAAAATGTGTCCTAAATATTTATTTATTATAATTCACACCGTTCCAGGGCTTCGAGCGCGTGCTGGAGGACATGTCGGACATAGTCCTGGACGTGCCGCTGGCTTACATCATGCTGGACCGCTTCGTGGAGCGCTGCCAGCGGCGGCTGCGCCTCGGAGACCACGTGCTGCAGCGCATGCCTACCAGGTGGCTCCACTTCCGATTAGCTTTTTTTTTTTATGGGAAAAATCGACAAGCGAGCGGGCGATTGACCTGATGATAAGCGAATACCGCCGCTCATCGACATCTGCTACTCCCGAGGATTTGCAGATGCGTTGACAACCTTTTTGAACACTGGCCTCTGGCCACCTCACTCACCAGACCAAACGCAGAAGTGTAACATTTCAACGCCGGTCTTCTGTTAGGTCATGGTACTCACCCGGACGGACCTGCCCATTCGTGCAACAGTGAATACTGTTGCGTGGCCCTAATAGTTGTGGTAGGGCCATGGGTGTATATAAAAGAAAGTGTACATTAGTTAGTAATGTTATTTCTAAAATTAACGACCTCTATTAGTTGCTATGCCGAGGAGCTTGTAACTAGAATGTTTCTCCGCAGGGGCCGCAAGCGCTTCGTGTCGGAGAGCGACTGTGGCGCCATCAAGGACCACGTGCTCAAGCTGCGCGAATAGGGGACCGACGCGATTTACCAGCAACAGAACTGCGCCAACCGAACTCGCACCTTATCGCCGCCGCACAAGCGTCAAATTCCCGTTTCGCCGTTGAATCCGCATATTAATACGTTTTATCACGCGATAGTGCACTCTATATCTAGTGTCTGACGGATAGGGTTCCGATTGGCTCGTCGCCTTCGTATCTGATAGCATGCAGAATAGACGGCTTCCAGCAGTGTTTTTATCGCGGATTGAAAGCCGCCGTAGAAAAATAACTACAAGCATTTCCAATTAAGCAACAGCACAATTTTGCAATTGACTATTTGATTGAACATTTTTTTTAATGTGCCATTCGATAATGATTTGTCAAAGACGGAGAATTTGGAAGATTTTTATCCCTACGACATCACTTGCCGTCAATAACGTAATGGAATTAAATTCATTTATTATTGGTTAAGATTTAATTTTGCAAATCGACAAACTGAAGTCTTAACTTCACAAATCGACAAACTCATTGCTCGCTGACCGTTTAAGTCTCCCAGTACCGCTGTCAGCTTGCCGTTCATAATTTCAATTTGGAGAACACTGCTATGTAGATTTGGATTCAGTGTTCTCCAATGCATTGAGATTTTAGCCACATTCTGTATGGAAGGTATGGTATGGTATGATACGAGCAATAATGACATTAATAATAAACCGTGATCATTTGACCACCATCATAGTAATTGAAACTCAAAATGTCCTTTTACGCAAGTATTTTAGGTTATATTTAAGCACAAAAATATTGACAAACGAGATCTGACCAGTCCGCTTTTCGTTGTTTTATGTTGTCCAAATTACAGTTGTTTTTGATGATAATACTTTTTTCTATTTAAGAGATTTTGATTTTAGTTATGGGTACTGTAGAAATGTTGTGTGAATGAAATTGATTCGTTTGTAAAACTTATGTCAGGAGACAAAATTATTTCCTGTTTGGTAACTGATTAAAACATCTACCACGCAAAAAATGTGTGCTATTAAAAAAATACAGATAATCATATAACGAAAGAATAGATGAAACAACAATTCTCAATATACTTGTAACATTTATGTGTATGAGGAGGAAAATTTTTCTTTATTGGTAATGAGTCATTAATTGTATTAAAGTCATTATAAAGTATGAAGTACAACGATTTAAAAAATATAAAATACAGATAATGTATTATCAAATAATGACAGCACCTGTTATATTTGAGCGGGAAAATAGTTTTTTTTTTAATGTTATCAAGCCTAAGGCCTTGCCAACGACGATCCGGTTGCGAGGGACGGGACGCGCAGTGTACGCCATGTTAAGAATTATTTACGAGTAAAAATCCATGTAAAAGTAATCCAAAACAAATAACTATTATTACGCTTGTAGGAAATGTTTAGAGATATATGTATTTGTGATGTTGCGAAACAATACGCGACAAGCGAGAGTGATCTCTGCTGCATTATGGCCGAGTGGGTGTATTTTTTTTTTTTTGTATAATTTAGGTTTTTTTTTTTAATTTACACTTTGAGGAGCATTTATTTTGTCGCAACGGGACGCGTCCAGCGTGGATTCCGAGAACGGCTATGGCCGCTGATAAAGTTGACGATTAAAAATGATCATTGATGAATTGTATGGTTCCGACATAGCGGCGTGTCAATTTTCAATTTATGGAACTGCATTTCTTTTTCTTCGTGTTTTTTTTTTCTCTCCTAGCATTGTAAGTTGTATTTTTTACTCTACTGATTAGGTTTTAGTCCGCCCCGGTTGTCGCGGTGCAATCGAGTGTACATAAACTCGTTGAGGCAGAATATAGCGATGATATTGATTTTCATTCGAATGGTTGTTTCATTTCGTGCACCCTTTGACGGCGAACGCGGAAGATTCTGTATACGGTGGTATGTAATTAGGTATACATACTCACAGCGATGAATACAGTGTCAAATGATACTATTTCATGGACTTTCTCGCGTGAGTTTTTTTTTTAAATGGTCTTATGATCAAGACATGATTGTTGCCGCTGTGGGAATCGAACCCAAGTCTTCGGCATTCGCGGCCTGACGCTCTAGCCACTGAGCTAAACAGCTGATAGCCACAGCGACGAAAATCTTAACGCCTTCCTTCTACATTGTTATTTAGCACTTGAAGCAATGCTTGGCGCATCTATTGTTATATCCTTTCCAGCATACAAACAATTTCGAATATCGTTTTACAACGATACTTCGAACGAGAGATGTCGCCATTGTTTTTTATAAATTTTAAAGTTTTTTATAGTGCTAATCTCTGCACTTAAGATTGAACATTAAAACGTGTAGAAAATGTACGAAAAGATTGTCGCCAGGTGGACTTTGATGTTTGTAAACCAATGTTTAATAATATAGATGACGCAATTCTGCTATACTGCGTGGCGTTTTAAAATTGTGCCACTTTCCATTTTATGACTTTTATAGGTGAATGTGAACACTATAAATAACGTTATAATATAATAAGTTTGATATGGAAAGAGATTACAGTCTTTAGGAATTTCAATCTAGTTACACCAATTGGTTTAGTGTAGGCATGTGATATACCTACAACATTCTGTACCCGGCCTCAAAGGTACGGGTATCGCCGTATACCTGGTGCTAAAACCCAGTATCAAAATACCTATAGGTATTAGGTATGTTCAGGCCTCCTTTTGGAGACTCGATCGAATCGAACGACCTTTGGAACATTTAGATTTTTTTTAACCAACAGTTTTTTGAAATTGAGATTTTAGAGATTCAGTCTAAAATAAGCTAATATTAAGCTATCTTTAATAGCGTAAAGAACCTAATTACCAAAAAAAAAAGTAATTCAAAATAAACATTACTGTTTAAAATTATTATAGATAAATAATTGCGCAATAATTTTAAAGTTAGACCTAATGATCATAGAGATAAAGAATAAATTATCTCAAGGAACTATTTGGTACTAAAGTTATGAAATACCGCCATTATTGGCGCGAAAGAAGACGAGGCGGCAGGGTCCGCGTACTCGCGAGCGTTATCGACAATACCTATCGGGGTCCGGAACGGGCCTCTGCCGCACATACCCGGTCTGCGTACTGGTACGTTCATACTGGGTATTTATAGCTGTACCAGTATATACGCCCCATCTCTATTAGTGCGCTAGTATCTTTTGTATATACCTTTGTACATAATATCACATATAAAACTTGTGCAGCGTTTGCTTAAGGACGCGTTTACGAATTCACGCGCTTCAATTTTAGGTACAGAGGCGTACTACTACACGTGCACGGCTCACGCACACAGCGACAAGCGCGAAGCAGCGAAACTTTATGTAACTCACGCAACTTGATACTTTTATTTAATTTGAAGTCATTTATTTTTTAAGCTTACGTTAAATTTGTTTTCAACAAGTTTTTTAAACTGAATATTTTTTTATATATTTAGGTATAATTTATTAAATTTCATTTAAAAGCTCGTAGCTGTTGATAATTTGCGTTTTAATTAATTATGTATGTAATTTAATTTTATGTTTTAATTAATTTTTATGAAGTAAACGAAGCTTGTTTTATACATGTTTGATTATGCGTGCGGTAGGTAGATAGCTTGATAGGTAGGTAATGGTAGGGTACGTAGGAAGGTAGCTATGTAGGCAGATAATTAGGTAAAACCCGCTAACGAATTGAGTAAAATACTTTGTATGGTATTCTGAATGCATTTTGCTGATTCAATAATATTCATGCTAAATGTTAAAAAAAGTAATTTTCTGTAAATGAATTGGAAATAGCATGGCGTACGAAGCCGGGCTAGTATCTAGAAACTAAAAATGAAATAATAAAACGAAGGAAACAAACTAGTAAAAATTAAAAAAAACATTTTTATAAAAAAAAACCTGTCGCACTCGGCTCAGCTGGGGTAAAGCTATAGCATAGCATCTTTTATCAACTTATGCCATTATAATTGTTTAATTATGCAGTATTTTTTTCTTTGATATTTATATTTATGTTAATAAATAATAATATTTTAATAATATAATAATTAATATATATTATAATTAATAATATATAATTAATTTATATTATTTACAAAAATGATAAGAACTACTAAGTCAGTCACTAAGCTCTGGATAGTTAAATTACAATATACTAACATTTTTAAACTTGTGATATCTTTCGAATGGAATGTCCGAATTTAATCATTCAAAAAGTTATATAAAGATATTGAAACAGTCTTAAATATAAAGTAATTTATTTTTATAAGAATTAATACCAAGATACAAATAAAGAGCCTTTTCTAGCGGCGGCATTTCAATCAAAATTTTAAAGTAAAAGAATACTTATTGTGGCATAACTATAATAGTTAGACATATACTGTCGCATCACTTTTTATAAATAATGATGTGTTCTGCAAATTCGTAGTACATTATTTTATACAATTATCAATAGTTTTAGCAGCGCACGCGATGCAACCAATATTTTAGGTAATTTTTGTACACTTTGGTTTACATTATTCAAGTTTTAGTAAGGATTCCTAGTTTTTTGAAAATTTTATATATCCTATGTCATCCGGGGATAATGTAGCTTCAAGACAGTGAAAGAAATTTTCAAATCTGTTCAGTGGTTTAGGAGCCTATTCAATGCATAAAAACAATCAAATCTTTCCTCTTGCGTGGTAGGCGGAGTGGGGGTGGTGTTAGGTTTTATTTTCGTTACGGAATTTATTGATTCGTTCGCCGCGCTCAAAGCCCGTGATAAAAGCTGTGCAATAGCTTAAAAAATATTGTTTCATTTTTAATTTGACTCTTCCATGCTCTTCGCAGAACTGTCGCTATGTCGATCCTGGGTGGAGCAAGCCCGCGAGGCCAATTTATACCTCCGACACGAGGTTCTGGCTCCGCCTTTTGATGTTCACTCTATGGATAGGGAAGACCACACGGAGTCGGGGTGCTCTGTGTCGGATCTTTGTGATTTTTTTTTATAGTTCTCTATCATTTAATTATTTTTGTTATCTATATCGAAGTAGTAGCCTGCTAAAATTTTATTTTTTTAAGCTTTGGCATCTGAAACAACAATTGAGTTATAAGAGGTATAAATGTTGTATGTGATAACTGTGCCATAAAAATAAGTCTTTGATAATTTAAGTTGAGACCCACTACATTTTTACATAACTATTTTTTTTTTTCGTGTTTTGCCTATTTTAAAGACGTTCTTACTTATTTTAAATTAAGTATTATTTTAGGCAGAATCCATGATCATAAAAGTTGATCAGTGCGAAACACGACAAAACAATAAACGATAAATGGGGTCATAAACGTGAAACAAAAAGTTTGCCACATAGCTGTCGTTCGAAACTTTTGAAGTACATGTTTATTACACCTATTCATTGAAACAAAAAAAAAAATGACCTTTTAGACATGCCTAATCTTACAATTTGCAAGTGTGCAAATTTGTTTTGTATTACTTGTATTTTTAATTATCCATACAACTTTTCTACATTTGGTGTACTTTTGGCCAACATTTGGCTGCATGGAAATAAGAATTAATAATAAAATACCAGATAGGTTCATAGGCCTCCCGGAGTATTTAAATTTAAACGAAAATTCTAAAATCTGTACACTGTCAAATTAGACATTTAAAATATTTAATCATGTCTAAGTAATGTAGAATGTTTATATTAAAAATTCATTACTTTGACTTGTGATTTACTTTGACTTATATTTATACTCTATTGACCTATCATAATTATAATCTAAATTTCAATTTTTTTTTATTTTAACATTTTTCACAAATATTTATACACAGAATTGATGTAGAATACGTAGTTCCATATTTTAAATAACTTTTTTACTGTATTCTTACACCTTCATGCCAATACATGAATTTCAAAGGTAAGGTCTCAAAAAAACTCACAAAACAAGCCCAAACTCGACACACATAGCTCATCTCGTCTGTTAGTTCCAGTAGCAGTTCTCGAAGTACACCTTCAGGTCACTCCATCTAGTCAGAAGGCAAGATCTCACCATACCTAACAAAACAAGCCCAAACTCGACACACATAGCTCATCTCGTCTGTTAGTTTCCAGTAGCAGTTCTCGAAGTACACCTTCAGGTCACTCCATCTAGTCAGAAGGCAAGGTCTCACCATACCTAACAAAACAAGCCCAAACTCGACACACATAGCTCATCTCGTCTGTTAGTTCCAGTAGCAGTTCTCGAAGTACACCTTCAGGTCACTCCATCAAGTCAGAAGGCAAGGTCTCACCATACCTAAACAAAACAAGCCCAAACTCGACACACATAGCTCATCTCGTCTGTTAGTTCCAGTAGCAGTTCCCAAAGTACACCTTCAGGTCACTCCATCAAGTCAGAAGGCAAGATCTCACCATACCTAACAAAACAAGCCCAAACTCGACACACATAACTCATCTCGTCTGTTAGTTCCAGTAGCAGTTCTCGAAGTACACCTTCAGGTCACTCCAACAAATCAGAAGGCAAGGTCTCACCATACCTAACAAAACAAGCCCAAACTCGACACACATAGCTCATCTCGTCTGTTAGTTCCAGTAGCAGTTCTCAAAGTACACCTTCAGGTCACTCCATCTAGTCAGAAGGCAAGGTCTCACCATACCTAACAAAACAAGCCCAAACTCGACACACATAGCTCATCTCGTCTGTTAGTTCCAGTAGCAGTTCTCGAAGTACACCTTCAGGTCACTCCATCAAGTCAGAAGGCAAGGTCTCACCATACCTAACAAAACAAGCCCAAACTCGACACACATAGCTCATCTCGTCTGTTAGTTCCAGTAGCAGTTCTCAAAGTACACCTTCAGGTCACTCCATCTAGTCAGAAGGCAAGGTCTCACCATACCTAACAAAACAAGCCCAAACTCGACACACATAGCTCATCTCGTCTGTTAGTTCCAGTAGCAGTTCTCGAAGTACACCTTCAGGTCACTCCATCAAGTCAGAAGGCAAGGTCTCACCATACCTAACAAATCAAGCCCAAACTCGACACACATAGCTCATCTCGTCTGTTAGTTCCAGTAGTAGTTCTCAAAGTACACCTTCAGGTCACTCCATCTAGTCAGAAGGCAAGGTCTCACCATACCTAACAAAACAAGCCCAAACTCGACACACATAGCTCATCTCGTCTGTTAGTTCCAGTAGCAGTTCTCAAAGTACACCTTCAGGTCACTCCATCAAGTCAGAAGGCAAGGTCTCACCATACCTAACAAAACAAGCCCAAACTCGACACACATAGCTCATCTCGTCTGTTAGTTCCAGTAGCAGTTCTCGAAGTACACCTTCAGGTCACTCCATCAAGTCAGAAGGCAAGGTCTCACCATACCTAACAAAACAAGCCCAAACTCGACACACATAGCTCATCTCGTCTGTTAGTTAGAGTAGCAGTTCTCGAAGTACACCTTCAGGTCACTCCATCAAGTCCGTAACGAAATATGAATTTTTAACCCCTACTAATTTCTAGTAAAAATATGACAAAGTGTGAATTATAGTTTACTTTTATCGTTCGTAGTCCGAAGTCCGAACATGATGTGTAAAGTATCAACTTTGTTGCGACAAATATTTTGTATTCGTACAGCGATCTTTTTCCTCACGAGCTGCTGTTTATAAGCGACATAGTGACCACTCATGACGGCAGCCGAGCGCCGACTAATATTTCTTTAAATATTTTTGTGGAATAAATCAAAAAAGTGACCAGTAAAATAACCTTTATGTCAATCACTTAAGATTCACGCGTAAGATATAAATGTGAAAGAAATAGATTTTAATCTTTATTTTTTTCTGAAACTAATTTCAACAATTTTGATACGTAATGTAGCTACCTTTTTGAGTTGAACATGTGTGCTTACATAAAATATTTTTAAATAAAAAAAATATGTTATTAAATAAGAGAAAAATGTTCCTAAACCCAACAGGATATCGTCCATTTTGAGTGAAGTGGTCACGAAAATTCTCATTTACAATATTATAAACCAAAATTTTCGATTAAAAACTATCTACCATTTGAAGATGAAGGAGGGATCTATATGTGATAATTATTACTTACATTATATTCGTTTCGTTTTGCCGCAAAATGTACCTGAAAACCCCCTATTTTTGCAGATTCCGCGAGATTTCGCAAACACGCCCTTAAATGTTACTTTTCAAAAATATCCACGTATACACAAATATACACCACGACGGTACAGAAAGTTTGACAACATTCTCAGCAAAGTTAAATATTATTTAAGGACCGAACAATATTTTTCGGAAACTCCTGTTTAATACCCCACAGCCTTTCGTTGTAAAGTGCGTGATAAAGGTACAATATCATTTAGTGGCCGACGGGTTTCGATGCAGACTTGTTGGTTACAGCTCGTAGGCGGGAACGAAGTAGTCGGTTTTTTTTTAATGCGAAAAGTTGCCAAACGAGCAGACGGGTCACCTGATGTTAAGTTAAACCGACGCCCATGGACATCTGCTACAACCGAGGTTCCAGATGCGTTGACAACGTTTTGAAAATTGGGCTCCGGCTACCTCACTTACCAGACGAAACGCGAAAGTATTTGTCATACTACCACTTTTCGCTGGTCTTCTGTGAGGTCGTGGTGCTTACCCGGACGGGCCTGCCCATTCGTGCAACAGCCGAGGCTGCTGCGTGGCCCTACCACCGAAAAAGCACTACATGCAGTATTGCAAGTCCGAGAAAGAGGGCACTGTGGTAGGGCCACGCAACAGTGTTCGCTGTTGCACGAATGGGCAGCTCCTTCCGGTGAAGTACCACGACCTCGCATGAGACCGGCGTGATGTGGAAGTAACATCTTCTGGCGTCTGGTGAGTGAGGTAGCCGGGGCCCTATAATAAAAGGTGACAACGCATCTGCGACCATACGAGTGCTGCCAACATCGGGTGAAACGCCAGCTCTCGAAACACTACACTTCTTCTTTTCGAGTCAAAATAGCTACTTAGATCTTGTTCGACCAGTATTTAAAACACTTGTAAAACTACACTACAATTTGGCACCGCATCTAACCTCAAAGTAGGTTTCCATTAGGCACCGGAATAGATTAAGATCGGATTAATCGGTCGCTGGGCTCCTCGCAAAAACAATAATAATAATAATAAATATTTTAGGACACATTTTAACACAACATTTTTCCCCAAACCCGTGGGTTCTGGCTAGCCCACCGGTTCTGCGTCAGATGATGCTTTAACAGTCTCGGGACTGAAAGCAAAAACATCAGTTAATACAAGAAACACAACATTTTCTAGTCACAAACCAAGCAACGCTTGTACTATGGGCACTAGGAAACTGATAAACATACTTAAACATACTTTTATTTTGTAAATAAATACATATACATACATAAACACCCAGACACCAGAAAAACACTATGTTCATCACACAATATTTTTCCAGTAGTGGGGATCGAACCCACATCATCTGGCGCAGGAGGCAGGTACACTACCCACTACGCCATTCGGGTCAGGACAATGCCTTGTCACTCGTAACAACATTAACTTTCAAACTGTCCACGATGATATGATTTATACCAAACGAAAAAGAAAATTTTACATTTCATGATTTTTATTACATTCAAACAGATCCTTAACAATGTATACTTTTGTGCTGGGAAGTACTATCACAATTATATTGCTTTCCGATTGTGTCTGTCTGTGTGTTACCTGAAAGGAAAAACTTTAATACAGTAAAGAAACAATCCACACACGACTTAATTTAGGTGGTTACGATTCAAAATATCTTTATTCAAGTAGACGCTTGCTTGTAATAGGGTTAAGGTATCTATATAAGGTAAGGTATAGGGGGTTTTAGTGGGTAAGAACCCCACATAATCCCGTCATGTAATATGACAGCGTATCTTTTGAAGATTTCCCCCTCGATACAAAAAAAAAAAAGTCGAATTTAACATAAAATTTGATACATAAGTTCGCGAGTAAGTTACCACCGGTTCGGAAAGCAGTTTCTGTTGAGAAGACACCGGCAAGAAACTCAAGGATAAAGGAAACAGGATTCAAACGCCATGGCGCGGGCCTAGTGTTCCAAAGCACGTTCTTCGAACGTGGCCGTTAGCGCGATTTATATCGACGTAAGGAAAAGAGTAAAAGAAAGTTTTCAATTCCATGGAGCAAAGTTTTGAGCTGTAAGTCCGCTAAAATTCAATAGCAACAATGCAAGTATCTCAACAATTTACTATAAGGCGCTATTTGAAACATCGGAAAAATGTATTTTTGTTTATACAATCACATCTAGACACCTACATAGCCTTTTTATTAGGGTTCTGTACCCAAAGCGCAAAACGGGACTCCACTGTCTGTCTGTCACTGGACTGTATATACTGTACCTACTCTATATCGTACTCATGAACCGTGATAGTTGGACAATTTTCACAGCTGATGTATTTTTGTAGCCGCTATAACAACAAATACTAAAAAACAATAAAAAATATTTAAGTCGGGTCTCCCATACAACAGACATGATTTTTTTGCCTTTTAGATAATGGTACGGAACCCTGCGTGCGTGACTCCGACTCACGCTTGGCCGGTTTTTAAGTATACTCTAGCAACCTGATTTCAAATCTGACTAAGAAGCTGACTTATCACGTGCTCAGCGGTGAAGCCAAACATCGTAAGGAAACCTCCATATTTTAGAAATAATATAGAAATTTTACCTTAAAATTAAATTTTTATTATGTTTAAGTTCAAATAAATAGTTTTCTTATCAGTTCCTAAGTGTCTTTTTGGCTTGAAAGTGATCCCATTAGCCACATCTACCTAAGCTGCTGAGCGCAGTCTACCACGCGACCCCACTGCGGATTGGCGGACTTCACATATCTTCGAAGAATTTTTTTAAATTTATTATGTGTTCCGTTTGACGTCCGAAGTCCATTATGAGAGGGCATCGCCTTTTTTCCTCGCCTTGTCGCTAGATGTCGCTACTTTACCGTCACGTGACCGCGCCTTTGGCGCCACTAGCGGCTTAATCTGGAACTAACTTTAAACAGCCGCAGCACAGCAAGTCTCCGTTTTGAAGTCATTGTTCGGCTCATAATGATATGAATGATGGTATGAGTGTAACACCAGGAAGACATTATTTGGACTTCGGACGTCTCAGGAAACATAATAAAAATTTTATTTTAAGGTAAAATTTCTATATTATGTGTTCCGTTTGACGTCCGAAGTCCATTATGAGAGACATGTTTGTTATCTCCTGGTGGCTTGCATAATAAATCAACAATGTGATTATATTGATTTTACAATGAAAACAAAATTATATGGATACTTCTTTATTCTTCTATGAATAAAAAATAAATTTTTATTCATAAAGAAATCCTAAGAAATTTGAATAAAATCAACAGCATGGTTGATTTAATTATAAAATATACTTCTTGGTTTTAATAACAAATTATAAAAGCATTTCCCAAATCGTTAATTAACATTAATTTGTTGGTGAAAAATACTTAGAAAGTGATTTCTCTGACTCATTGTTAAGGCCTCTATCATCAACATCTTTGCAGTAATAATTTCTAAAAGTATTTTCATGGCGCCAGTTAGCCTTAGCTAAAATATCGTTTATAGGGTACTTTTCTAGACAGTTTAAAGATGAGACTGCAGACCTAAAGCTTCCGGGCGTAGCCTCTATTCCGGCGTCAGAAAGAGTTCGCCTTACCCAACCACCTATTATGACAGCTGTAGCTGGTCTACGAGGTTCCCTAGTCGTTATAAATAAATTTGTCAGAGAACCTCTAATATTTTTTGATACATTAATCGACTTTCTTAACCAAAACAAAGGATTTGTATTTCTATCCGGTGATGCTAGTAAAGTCCAACTAGACTGTTGGTACGATGCTGAGTCAGTTTTGGAACCAAATACAGGATGCAAGGTTATTGAGTCCCCTTGATCAACCAGATGTTTAGAGTCACAATGTAAAAGAGTCAAATCGTGAACTCGACGACTCTGTAATATTTCTGCAGTCCAATTTGTGGCAGTCGCAAACATCCTCGGCGCCGCTGCAAGCCCGAAGGGTAGACATGTCATCTGTAGCAACCGGCCTTGGTAACTGACACGTAAAAAGCAACGGTGACTTTGCATTATCGGCAGATGATAATATGCTTGACTTAGGTGGAGCTTCACCATCCAATCGCTCGTTTGTAAAAAACTTTGCATTCTGTGATGATGAAACAGGTGAAAATGCTTTGGTTTCATAAATTGATTTAAGGCCTTCAAATTGAAGATCACGCGATTTTTTCGTTTGTTTTTCGTTATGATGAAAAGTGGGGATATGAACGATGAAGTTAAAGGTGCTGGTTCGAGGATTTGATTTGTAATCATGGCCTGAATTTCTGAAGACATTATTACGGAACTCGGAGTCTGAAATCTTTGCAATATCTCCGATGTTGGAAAGATTAATGGCGTCGTCTGGCTGAAAGGTATTCGGGCAGCCGAAATTAATTCTATAATTGCTTTGGGTGGTTCCAATTTGGCCCATACTCTTTGGTAAAGTCTCAAACAGCCGCCGGAAAACCGACTCGAGTCACTTGTGCCTAATTCTATTGTGCTGATCCTTTCGCCCACCCTTTTTCTTTTTGTCGTGTTCGTCAAAATTTCGTTTCCTATTTTTTCCTGGTTTTTGTTTATTTTGTTGGAAACGAAAGGACTTGTCACGAGAAGTAGAAGCTACCGGTGATTTACAACGACCTGGCGATTTTGAATGCACTATAGATTTAGGTTGTGGCACACTATCTTTGTCTAATTTACTTATACCCCCGATTTTTTGTAAATAAGCAGTTAAACCCTGAGGATTGAACATGTAATCTATAGAGGGCGGAATTTTTTCCATATCTTCTCTTATATAATTTCCTTTTAATCCTTTAAGAAGCGCCTTTCGCCGCATTTCTAAAACCTCTGCCCGTTTTCCACAAATTATTTGTAGAATGTCATGCGAAACGGTTTTATAAACAGATTTATTTCCAAAAAAATCCTTCAATTTATCGTATATTGAAGATGAAGTTAATTGCGTGTCTGGTTTCGTAGACCAGTCAATCAAATTACGCGGCGCTAAATTAACAAACTCATTCTGCGCCAAAAAGGCGTTTGACAAAGCGGCAAAACTTCTTTCCATCTGAAACCACCTATGCGGAGCATGCGGATCTTCTAGATGTCTCAACTCCTCATTTACTTTGAGCTCTGTGAACGCTGGAAACGCAGCATATTTCTTTTGGGCCTCGGTATACCGCACAGAGTTCCAGTCTGGGGAGTCGATTCTTTGCATAGAAGCCAACTTAGTAACCCTGTCCGGGTTTGCTTTTGGTACGGTCGGTTCTATAACAGAAACACCTAGTTCAACAATATCATTAACTGCTCCGGAGGGTAGTAAAAATGGATCATCTAATACATTATTATTCGCTCCAGGTGCCGGCACAGAGACGGAAAAGGATGAATTGGGTTGTATGCCAGCGTAATTTGCGCTCATAATATTAACGTGACTCACCAACTGTTGCGAGAGATATTCAAACCTTCGTTCCATTTCTCGCATGGAGTCGCGAGATCGACTGCGGCTGTCACGACGGCGGCGCCGTTTCTTGGGTGGCAGATGTTCATCCTCGTTCGAAGTCGAACTTGAACTCGATGACCCCGAATCGCACGACGATACGGCCGCATCCTCTTGCAAACGCGCGGGGTCGCGACGCATATCCGCGGGTGGTTCGAAAATTTTCTCCTCATTGCTCATTTTAATTTTACGTAACGGCTTTAAATAACTTTGATCGAATAACTTTCTACTTTAATCTCGAAAGTTTAAAATTTTAATATAAAATAGTAAAATCAAAATTAAAGGGAGTTTGATTTTAATGAAAAGCTAACGACCATGCGGTTTGAAAAACGACGCAACAATGACTTCAAAACGGAGGCTTGCTGTGCTGCGGCTGTTTAAAGTTAGTTCCAGATTAAGCCGCTAGTGGCGCCAAAGGCGCGGTCACGTGACGGTAAAGTAGCGACATCTAGCGACAAGGCGAGGAAAAAGGCGATGCCCTCTCATAATGGACTTCGGACGTCAAACGGAACACATAATAAATTAAAAAAAATTCTTCGAAGATATGTGAAGTCCGCCAATCCGCAGTGGGGTCGCGTGGTAGACTGCGCTCAGCAGCTTAGGTAGATGTGGCTAATGGGATCACTTTCAAGCCAAAAAGACACTTAGGAACTGATAAGAAAACTATTTATTTGAACTTAAACATTTTGAACTTATTTTAGACCAAGCGTAATGATTATGAAATTTATATAAAATACAGGAGTTATGTCAGATAGCTAGACATGTTACATCTTCAAACGATTTTTACGGAATCAATCAATTATGACTCAATTCAGTCTGAACAAATAAAACAAACATTCCAAATTTAAAGTAATTCAAACATAATACATAAATCTAACAGGTCAGAGGTGACGTCAAAAGAGTATGTATAATCTGAGATTACCAATCAACAACCATACGGGTCAGTTGTCCCTCCGCCGCCGCTGGCCCTGCGCGCTGTACGCGGCTGGCACCCTGCTCCACTGCCACAGCTCGACAGCCACCGCCACGGCCGCCGCCACCGCCATCGCCCCCAACACCAGCCCCTTCACGAGCGCCTCCATCGCACGAGTCTCACTTTTACTGCGAACAAGGACTGGTGAGATCGCGTTCAACGCGATAACATTCACATTCAATAAGACACTCACGCCCGGCTACTGAAACACGGAACGTCGTAGAAGTCAACTAGTCGGTTGTGAAACGGCTTTTCAAATGTTATTTGAGTTGCCAAAAGGATTGTTAAACTCTATGAAATGATCACATTGATCAGAATTATCATTTCAAAGATTTTACCAATCCTTTTGACAACTCTAAAAACATTTGAAAAGCCATTTGACAGCTGATTAGTTAACTTCTACGATGATATTAAATGAAACTACTTTACGGATTTTATCACGTTTTTTATTTTGATTTAAATTCCCGACATTTCGAACCCTTTCCAGCGTTCATGGTCACGGGACAGACTCCTGCGATGCCTATCCTTCTACGATGATCTCTGTTTCAGAAATCGGGCGTCAGTGATACTGGTTAGAACTAATTAAAAAAATAAAGTGTGTTTAGTGCACTTAAGAACGCACGTAAGAAATTATACTTCTTTAAAGTAACAAAAAAAATATTTAAAAAAATGTACCCCTATGCCAGTACTCTTCGTTGAAATAACTTGGAATTATGTTTAAGTCAAAGTTGTTGTCGGTTGTCATGGTAATACCGTGAAGTTAGTTAAATCGAAATTGATCGCTGTGAAACCAACTTTATCACGTCGGTGTGGGCGCGCATCGTAAAACTTTCACTCTCAATATTTTTTCCAAACGCGCCAAAAGGAACTTCATAAAATGTTTAACTTTTTTTAGCTCACGTTTACGTTCACCATGTTTAGAAGCACTAAAACTGCTAGCGTCAAAATTTAAATGAAATATTTAATAATATAGGATAACTTCAGAAGTATAGGTTTTAAACATTGAATTAAGTAGTCCTTAAGTTCAATATTTCGCTAATTACATGTCTTCTTTCCGACGACCGTGCCAAGAGAGAGCAAAGAGTACTTTTGTATATCTGAGAGAGAGCATCTGTTCCTTGTACCGCTGTTAAGGCAGTACCCGGAACGCATCATGTGAATCATCTTAATTCTTATTGTGTTATGAGTACTGTTTTTAAAATATATGATAAATTAGTTTAATATTTCTTACAATATTTGTGACAATTAATTACAGCTCTAGTTAAGTCTTTATGAAAAATAAATTAAATATCGGATCTTAATTTATATTTCAATGTTGCCATATTTCCAAGATATAATGTTGTTATTTTACAAAAGTTTTATCGAACATAAAATTATAATTAATCGAAAATATTATAATAATATTCAAAATAAAACTAATTTTCTAGTCAATATAAAATATAAACGCATAAATAGGCTAACAATAACATCAACTGAAAGAAAATGGCAGATCATAAATTACCTACCGATATCCGAATTCCAAATAGAATATCAATAAAGTTCATTATTAGTATGTCAATTGTTAGAAAAACAATGAATATTATTTTCCGTCCTATTACAGATAAATTTGAATGCATTTTTATGAGTAGCTGCCAAAATTGTCAACATTTGCTGTTAAATAGCTTTCAATGCAAAAATAAAACATGATTAATGGCCAACGAATGTTTTCTCATTCATTTTAAACATCACAAAACAGAAAAGAAATGTTTATAATATGAGATATAGCCAAAGAAAACATGAAAGATCAAGAAAGTTTTACTCTAGACTGCAAAAAGTGTAACTTGGCGATAAAACTAAACACCATGACCTTGGTTAAATCATTTGGCTTGGCGTGCCATTTCTATAGTAATACTTACGTTCAACCAAAATGTATTATGACACCACGAAATGCTTCCTTGCAACTACGAATATATTTCATGGGCGACATTCATTGAAACCCGTCAAAAAGGAAATACTACGAATATATGTACATTAATCAAACTTTTTGGCATTACCAAGGGCTGTCATAGGTTATAACTCTTAGGTATTAATTTAACTTCTATTTTGATGGAGTAAAAGTACCATAATAATCAATGTGAGAATTATATCGCGAAGCTATTTCAAAACAAATATACAATTCAGTATATATATCTTATTTAAGCAAATATACTTGTCTTAAACGTTAAACATGACTTTTTTTTAATTTGAAACATTGACCAGCCACAGATGAAATCAACTTTGCAGTAAAACGAATAAATTTTGATCCATATAATTTTTGTTTTATGTGAAAAGTTGCCAAGCGAGCGGGCGGTTCACTTGATGTTAAGTGAATACCCCCGGTCATGGACATCTGCTACTCCCGAGGATTGCAGATGCGTTGACAACCTTTTGAAAATTGATTCACCTCACTCACCAGACGAAACACGAAAGTATTATATTTCCACTTCACGCCAGTCTTCTGTCAGGTCGTGGTACTTACCCGGACGAGTCTGCCCATTCGTGCAACAGACAAGCTGCCTGGCCCAATCACAGTTAGGTTACTGTAGTAGTTAGACAATTTCTCCATGATGGATTGAAGCTCGCTTGGGGACATCGCAACAAAAGCGGCTTCATTTGTGTTGTTAAAGCTTTGATCCGAATAGTTGTAAAATTTCCAGTCTGTCCTCATGTGGAAATGTATCTCACGTTTGTTATTATATGCCTTATGCCTGGGACTCAATCTTGAAAGTTTATGTTTTTCCACTGTGTTTCACCTCCCTCGCGACCCCACAAGCAGGATCCACAGGAACGACAAGTCGATACATGTGGCACTAGCTTGATTGCAGGTCCTGGGTCATGCGTTACTGAGACTCCAATCCGGAGTTATTTTGAATATTCCTTCTCAGACGATGGCACTACGGGTAGTATGCCCCGCGTTCCAGGGCGGTTCTCACCGCCCACAGCTACCGATTAGCTAAAAACACAGTCGACGGCCATCGGGTTCTCGGTCCGCACCGCAACCTCCATGGCCCTTAGATGGCATGCCGTAGTTAAACTCACACATGCGCGGCCCTATCCACAGCGGAGGGCCCAAACCCGTGGATTCTTGCTAGCCCACCTGTTCAGCGTCAAATGAAGCTTTAATAGTCTCGAAACTGAAAGCACAAATCAGTTAATACAAGATACTGCATGTATTGAGACACTATTCTATTCAGCCGGTGCTCACCTGGCTGACGTCAATCTTACTTAGGTATTTAATTCGGACCGCTAGGAAATCATTACGTTATTTATTGCGCGCGTTAATATATGATGATCTGGATCATTTAAAACGTTAATACGTCGGCGTAAACATATGCACTGTCCGACAGGGTGCAAGATGACCACCCTCTGCCCTTAACACAATAATCAAAAGGAACAATTATGTATGGGTCATAGAAATACTCGACCCGTGTGGGAATCGAACTCACAACCCTCGGTTCCAAAGCGAATACAAAAGAAACTGCACCGCCGAGTCAAGATAGGGCAAATGTATGTAGAAAAAAATATTTAAAACTTGTTATTTTTACTAGGAAATCCACCATTTTATTTGTTTGACTTCAAAAACTCAATACACAGTTCTGCCGACATGATAAATATAGGAAGCGGGCGACATCATACACGTATCGATAGTCCGATTTTTTTTAATTTCATGAGTCACAGAACCGACACAGAGCGAATCCGACTCGGACAGATTAGGTTAGAAGGTTCAGGCGAGAGCGGAGCTCCTTCGAGGTTAGGTTTTTTTTATGACCACCAAGAAATACTAGCAGAATTGACATATTGACAACAAAAAAATGGCGAATTTCTGTAGTAAAAATCACACTATTTGATTATTTATTTTTTCGAAAACTATAAGAGACCGCCGAATTCTGCTTGTTGATAAATTCATTAGCGAGTTTTCTCTATCATTTAAAATTTATTTTAATCGAATTACACCGGAGTTAAAGTTATTTACATTTACCCAAGATAGATAGAGAAAACTTTAACTGAACTCGGTTGAGTTCAATGGGTATGGGAGGTACAAAAATAGTGAAAGAACCAACACTGAAAAGTATCATGAACATACCTGTTCAGGAGAAAATAACGAAACGATTGAACTATCGAAAAGTAGAAAATGAGATTTTTTTTTTATTGAATCGGTTTATTTTATAGATATTATGAAATCCTATCACACGAATTTACCACTAAAATTTACTCTAATTTGCTCCAGGCTTAATGAACGGTTTTTTTTATTTTACGGCTGTAGGCGACGCGTTACAATTTTATTTTATACATTTTAGTTTTATATTAATTTTATTTTTATGTTAATTTCATTTTAATCTGATTTATTATTCTTATATTATTGTGTAGGTTTGTTTATTATTTATATTATTGTGTAGGCATTATTGTGTAAGTTTTTATTCTCATTTCCTATTTATATGGCAACCGAGCGGGCGCGCGAACGTTACTTTTTGAATTTAAAATAAATACGGGTACTTTCTGTCATACGTTCTTCTTCTTTTTCCGTACGCGCGCTCTGCTAACGTTCACTGTGTCCACGTAATTATCCTGAGTTTTAAACTCCCGTACAACGGCTCAATTTTTCACAAAAACTATGCTATATTTATTGAATATGACTGTGCAATAAAAACTATACTAAATTCCCGCCATACACGTTTTACAACGTTCACACGCTCACAGTTACAGAACTTACACTCTAATGACTGAGAGTAAATTTAATTATTGTATTTTAGTTATTATAGTAACGTTAATAGAATGAAAATGATTGCTTTTTTTACAAATTCGCAATTAGAATTTTAAGTTGGCATTAGTGTTAGCGTATAGTACGTTCACTAACTTCCTCTGTGCAGTGGCGGATTTGCCCTAAGGTGCCCAGTAGGTCCGGGCGGCCAATCATGACAAAAAATTAAGTGATTAATTACAAGAAATATCTCAAAGCACTTCAATATTGTAAAAGAATCGCGCAAATTATGGTGGGCCGAACTGCACCGCATCGTCCTAACAATAATCTTCCTATTAAAACATGTAGAAAAAGTACGAAAAGATTGTCGCCGCTGTGGGAATCGAACCCACGTCTTCGGCATTCGCGGCCTGACGCTCTAGCCACTGAGCTAAACCGCTGATAGCTACAGCAACGAAAATCTTAACGCCTTCATTCTACATTGTTCTTTTTCAATCTTTTCGCACTTTTTCTACATGTTTTAGTGTTAAAACTTAAGTGCAGAGATTAGCACTTAATTAAACTTTAAAATTAATAATCTTCCTAAATCAAATTCGTACTATTTATGTATAAAATACAGATATGTATATGTATTACACAATATGATGTAACGTAATTATTTCGTATGTGTGATTTAGGTCTTCCTGAACTAACATTTTCATGTTATTATACAGGCGAGCCTTAAAAAAATACGATCGCTCTTGCGTTGCTTGGTTATACGGACGTCTCAGGTCAGGTGGTTTTTTACACTGCTATATTTTGGTAATGGGGGAAAAATTTTCAAATGATACCCAGTCATCCCTCATATGACAGGGTTATGTGGGGTTCGTACCCGCTAAGAAACCCTCAGTGGCACCTTCTGTATGGCAATTTTTTCTTTCTTTTTTTCTCGAGTCTTGCACTAAAACCGTATCATTAACTTAAAAGTAAGCAAATGCCTGTCCTAATTGACTTTCCCATTTTTTTTTAAAGTTTTTATTCTATTATAATTTCATTTGTTACTTTTGTTTTTGATCAATGTATTGGTCTTTTTACTCGGGACTTTATTACCCAATTTTTGGTCATTACTGAAAATCAGCGTTGCAGTTTCACTATAATCAAAAGGGAAAAATATTGGAGTTTTATGTTCATGTCTTTTTTTATTTGTCTAATTTTGATTGTTTAAAATGAGTGTGGTGTACGTCAGTCTGTTTTATTTCAAATAAGTCTGTTTCTTTCTTCTACAATTCTCTCAATATCTTACGACAGAACGAATCCACTTCTTACCTCTTACGCTGGTCCGTTAATCAAACCCAACTAAGTCGTATTTTCTTTTCTACGAGCCGTATTTTACTATGCCGTATTATACTGCTGAATTCAGGGAATCGAACCTCATAACCCGAGCATTGTCTCAAGGGTTACACTTCTTCGTTTCGTCTTCGTGAGAGACGTAGGGACGAGAGGGTAGTAGGGGCCCACTATTAAAATGTGGCAACGTATCTTCAGGTGTTGTAAATGTGCAGTGTTTATCATTTAATATCAGCTGAACGGCCTGCTTTTTTGCCACCTCACATAAAAAAAGATGATACTGATCATGACCGACGCAACTTCGGATATATTTCCTCTCCTAATGGAAAATCGACATTACCATTGTGCTAGAACTCTTTGAGGAATTCTAATACATTTTAATTTCCGAAACAAGATAACGATGATTTCGATAACAAAGTCAAACCAACCGTACAATTAAAACCAAGACATTGTTATTGTTACTTGTTGCACTTATTCGTTTTTATTCATGTCAATGGGATGGGATACATACCATAAACAAATATGTGTTCTATAACTTCCGATAAAAGTAATCAGTGGCTCTCGATCCATTATTACACAAAATCGACGGCTAATACGTTTGACAGACCGCAATCATACACACGTAGCACAAGCACGCAGGAATGATGCTCAATTAAGCAGAAGTGCGGGTGGAGAAACAGTGGGGACGATAGTTGGAAATACTTCTTGCGAATCGTAAAAGACTTAACTTAAAAATATCAACGCAAGGGTTGCGCTAAGTGCTGCTAAAAATTACTTATGACATCGATTGGGGCTCAAGCCGATGTTCCCATCTTAATCTGAAGGATCCTTGGAATTGTCGAACATTTGTTCGCGGAGATGCAGCGTGGCGGACGGCGTTCGCGTGTTATTGTCGTGCAGACGTGCACCATTATCAATGATAATTTATCATGATCTCTTCCGACAAAGCCGACGGGTTAACAGAAAACGATAATTACACAAAAATACCAATTATTGATTACTTTCACAATTAATCTCGTTCTGATTCTGGTCACACAGGCTTTCAGTGCGTCACTGTTAGATTTTGACGTATGAATATTTTACTTGTGGGTGTTGTAATATTTGTTTGTGAAGGTAAGCCGTTTACACTTTGCACCTTTTCCTGGCATTGTCGATTTGAAAAATGAGTTTCCGTGAAGAAGAGAGGCAGAAAAGCAACTGTCCTAGCCGCGGGCTCGGCTTAGCGGCTGCTGCGATCGGCATCGGTGTTGGGGCGGCTATGTACTACTTCTTCAGCAAGAGGCCTGAAAATCCGCACGGCGAGGGTTCCACAGCTTCCGAATGGCACACGGAGACATTGTAAGTGTCCATATATACTACAAATACAATTATCCCGTTTATAACCAAATTACTATGCCTACGTATCCTTTCATAGTTTTGTTACGACGTAATTTCCTGTTTTTTTTTTCTTTGGAAGGTCGTTAGGAAATTTCTACAGATTTGACAACGAAAACCTCCTTTTATCATATTAGAAATAATTAATGACGTTAAAAATTAATGCCAGAACTGACTGCGCTTTTAGTTTTTTGTATATTTTTCGTATTGAGATAAATGAAATAAGCAATATAAAATTATTCGCATATTCTGTTGTAATAATTATAGTTTTTTTGTTTTAAACAATGACTATATTATTCCCATATTAGGTACTTGTTTAATTGCTGTTGGTGAAGTGTGCTACAAAACTGGTTATGTAGGAACTAAGAAATTGAAAGAAATTTAAATGGCCTTGTATGTATTGTAAATGTTATGGTCATCACTTTTTTTACCTTACTTGAGCAGATATTATTTTATATTCATATATGTATGTAGGCGTAGGATAAATAAAATCTTTATTTTGAGTAAATTGTTACTATTTTCATCTTTATTTAAATTAATACATTTTAAGACACAGATACACGTTACTCGTTCGTGGCGTCGTTGCGAAAAGTCCCTCAATCCCTTTTACGTCATCCATCCTTCTCATTCACACAATACTTCGTTCAAAAATCATCTTTTACTCAACTATTAAATAATTAATCCTACAACTCGGCCATTCTGCAAATCAGTCTGGCCTCAGACTGAAGCTACTTTACCACAGTTATACTAAGTACTTAACATTTTTTTTCCTTCTTCATAGACATAAGTGTTTAAACATACAACAAAAAAATAACAACACTAATGAGCTTATTCCTTTACAACCACAGGTAGTTTAGGCAGTTTTAGTAGATGTTTAAAAAATACAAAATTACAAAAACAATTACTTAATCGGTCAAAAAAAAACAATTTGTATCAAGGCCATCTCTTCATATAATCTGAAGCTCTTATCGGCCCTTCTTTACCTCTGTCTATTTTCTCTACCTCATACCTACCCCTTCCCAACTCCTTTGTAATTCGATATGGTCCATAGAATTTTGGTTTTAATTTTAACGCAGTTCCAAACTGTACACGTTGTATAGCAACCAGATCACCTTGCTTGTACTTCTCTCCTTCTTTACGCCTTTTGTTATATGTCTTTCTATTCTCTTCTTGGATCTTTAATATTTGTGCCTTAGCCTCTCTTCTTGTTTCATCTCTTCTACTCATAAATTCGATTCTGCTTTCCTCTTCTAAGTATTCCATAATAGATAAATCTTCCTTCAGTTTAAGTTTCACTCCCGTTAACAATTCAAAAGGTGTTGTGTTAATTGATCGTTGATATGTGCTATTAATGACTCTTTGAAGCTTACTCACATGCTTATACCAATGGCCTGGTTCTTCTATACACATCTTTGTTAAAGTAGAAATAATAACTCTGTTCACCCTTTCAACTTGACCATTTCCGCGTGGTATTCCAGTGGCAATAGTGATATGTTTAATGCCTTCCTCTTGACAGTACTCTTGAAATTCATTCCCTGTAAAAGCTACTCCTCGGTCAGTAATGATTCTCCGTGGGTTACCATAATCTTTCTGGTGCAACTTTAACTTTTCTACGGTTTCCTTTGCTGTCACAGTCTTAACAGGATAAATCCAGACGAACTTTGTATATCCATCAATTACAGTAAGTATGTAGTTATACATTTTCTTAGTTGCATCTAATGGCCCTAAATGATCACAATGTAAAGTATCCAGTGGTAATTCTCCTTTATCAATTGGATTTAAAAAGCCTTCTTTCTTACCAGACTTTCTACTCGCTAATAAACAGGGTACACAGGTAGAAACAATCTTATCGATTTTACTGTCTAGTTTTGTAATGTAATAATCTTTTTCTATTATATCCTTAATCTTCTTCTTCCCAAAATGTCCAATTCCATGGGCTTTTTTAATCAATTCCATATCCATCATATCAGGTAATACCAATTTCTTCTCCGGTCCTTTATAGATAACATCATTCTCTAAAAAATAATCTTCATATCCATTCTTTTCTAATAGTTTTCTGATAATCTTTAACCCTTCATCTTCTTCTTGTGCCTTCTTTATTCTCGCATGTAACTCAACATCCACAAAACAAATGTTTCTGCTCAATGCGTCAACATGTTGCATCTTGTCTCCTGTTCTATGTTCTATAGAATACTGAAAATCCTGTAAGTAGTATCCATCGTGCTACTTTTGCAGATGCATCCTTTTTGTTCAAGGTTTTTTGAAAGGCTTCACAATCAGTGACATTTTTAAAGGGTATTCCTATAAGATATCTTCTGAATTTCTTCACGGCTTCAATAACAGCTAAAGCTTCTAACTCGTAACTGCAACACTTTTGTTGAACTTCTGTAGTCTTTCTGCTCATGTAGTGAACAGGATGTTGACAACCATCATTAGGGTCTAGTTGCATTAAAATAGCTGCATATCCATGCATAGAAGCATCTGTATGTAATTCAGTTTCCAAATGAACATCAAATATTTTCAACACTGGTTCACAACATAATTTTGACTTTAATTCGTCAAAAGCTTGTCTTTGAACATCCTCAAACTTAAACTCACCTTTTTTCAATAAATCACTTAATGGCTTCGCTATTAAAGCATAATTTTGAATAAACTTCCTGAAGTACGAAGTTAATCCTATGAAGCTGTGCAGTTCTTTCAAATTTTTAGGCACTGGAAAGGTCATAACAGCCTTTGTTTTCTCACTAGATGGTCTTATCGTTCCATTGGAAATATGGTAGCCTAAGAATTCAACAGATCTTTGTAGTATTTGTGACTTCTTCCAATTTATTTCGAGCCCATACTCCGCTGCCACCTTCAGCAAAGCTTTAAGTCGTTCAATTCCCTCTTTTTTCATCTTTTGAAAGTATAATTATATCGTCAATAAATATCAAAACCACTCCCGTTCTTATAAAATCCGCAAATATGATGTTAATGTATCTTGTAAAGTATTTAGGACAGATAGAAAGACCAAACGGTGCTCTTAAAAATTCATACTGGCCTTCAGGGTTACTCGTTACAAATGATGTATACTTCACCGACTCTTCTTCAATTGGTAAGTGGAAAAAGCCATTTTTTAAATCGAGCGTGCTATACACATTCACTCTACTCAATTTGTCAATAAGGTCGTCGATTACAGGTAATGGATGTTCGTCTTTCACCATTTTCTGATTTATCTTTCGATAATCTACGCAAACTCGTACACTGCCATCTTTTTTCTTTGTCAATACTAAGGGACTTGCATACTCAGAATAACTAGGACGAATGATGCCCATCTTCAACCAATCATCAACTTGCTGCTTCACTAACAGTTCTTCGGTTAAATCTAAACTTCTAGGCCGTTGTGTAACTGGAATATTATCTTTTAGAACAATTTTCAGCCTAATGGGTGCATCTTTGGTCCTCAAAGGTACGTAATCATTTATAATATATTTTACCGCACTACATTGGTCATCATTACTGGAAAAAAGACATATAGCATTTTGATATAAACTATCGTAACATGGAGGCCTAATTTCAACGGCACCTTTGTCTATAATCGTAACAGTATTTACTAAGAATGGTTGACCTAATATTACATCATGTGGCATTACATTAGTTGGTACAATATAAAAATTAATATTGTAATGGTGATCGTCGATACTTAATTCCGTGTCGAATTTACCGATTGAAAATACTTGTGAACAACCCAACCCGGTAAGCAACATTCTGACAGGTGTATATCCAATATTTAATTTAGAAAAGAAATTTAAAGTTATTAAGTTTAAATCACTACCTGTATCAATTAAACAGTTCGTCACGAAATTACCTATTTTTACATTTTTTTATGCTTCTATTAACTATCGCATCACCTTTATCTACATTAAATACAGACTGACGTTTTTGAAGTTGACACTGAATCCCCTTACTGTCACAAACATTTGATATGCAGGCACTCGCTCTTTCCTTCGGATCGCAACTCATTACATTTCGTTCACGTTCACCTTCTTCATTCACGTCCACGTTAGCGGAACTAGCGCCCTCTGATGTCAGCGTGGGATATTGAATGAACATCGATCGTCGATCCCGCTTTGCATGCATTTGTGTTATTACAGGTTCCGTTTTCTTACATTCTGCGCCTATGTGACCGAACTCATTACACCTAAAACATTTTACACCTCTTTGACAGGAACTCGACAGATGCCCTTTCTCACCGCACTTGTAACAACGTTGGAATGTCTGTCCTCCAGTTTTCCCGTTGTGCCATCGGTTTCATTACTGTTACTTCTCTTTTGCTTATAGTACTCTTCTTGGTTTTCTGTTTGTAACTTTCATACAATGCTATTTTCTCCTTGAGCTCTGAATAGGATGTAACACCATAGAATAATAATTTGTTTGATTCGTAGTCGTTTATGCCATCGACTATATACTGTATGGTGACGTAGTCTGCAAACTTAGCCCTTTTTCCCAATTCTTTCATGACAAGCATGTATTGATAAACCGTTTCATTAGCCTGCTTTTTCCGATTACTCATCATTTCATGCATTTGTTTGGAATTTATAGTATCAGGAAACTCCCTTCATCAGAGCCGTTCTAAATTCATCATAAGTTTTAAATGCTTTTTCCGTCTTCAGCCATAATTGTGCAGTACCAGCCAAGCACCTCCGCGCGATAATTAGCCGTTGTAGTTGGTTCCATCCGAAAATATCTGCGTTGTCTTCAATATCCTGCGTCCATTTTGCAGAGGAATACGTCATATCATCCCCCGTAAACTTAGGTAGGGAATCCATCAGGAAGAATGGATTATATTTACCATCGTCGTTATTGCTCTCCATCATCTTTTAACCGTCGTAAATATTATCGTCGTTATTTTAAAGTGACAATTAATACTTCTTCTTTTGTAACACGTAATGGCGGCTGGCGTACGTGATCACTTTCTCTCGTTATTAAAATACCCAAAAATCACTTTAAGCCCGTTATCCCGGACGAGAATTTTGTAGGCGTAGGATAAATAAAATCTTTATTTTGAGTATATTGTTACTATTTTCATCTTTATTTAAATTAATACATTTTAAGACACAGATACACGTTACTCGTTCGTGGCGTCGTTGCGAAAAGTCCCTCAATCCCTTTTACGTCATCCATCCTTCTCATTCACACAATACTTCGTTCAAAAATCATCTTTTACTCAACTATTAAATAATTAATCCTACATGTATGTAATCTTGTTTAAAAAAAAACAGCTACCTACATTTTTTATAGTAGTTTAAATATTGAATAATCAGTAATTAACAAATTTTTTTAACATTAACTTTATATTCCGCAAAACATGTTTAACTTAAAAAAAATTATCAACTTAATAACTTATTTTATGGTAAAAGTTTTTTTTGCTAATTAAAGCTCCCTTCCTTCATAAACAAAATATCAAATAAAGAAATAAGTACTGTTGTCTAGTCTGTAAGATGTTTAACACATATGAAAAGTGATTGTTTTCAATTTCTAGCTACTAAAATTATTATGTCTTCATTGACTATGTCCTAATCGATAAGGAATTTGTGAATTTAGTTTGTACAAAATAATATTGTAAGAACCAGCCAAGTGCGAGTCAGACTCGCTTATGAAGGGTTCTGTACCATTATCTATTAAAACTGAACAAAGATCATATCTGTTGTATGAGACACTTTAATATTTTTTATTGTGTTTTAGTATTTCTTGTTATAGTGGAAATAACATCTATGAAAATTTCAACTGGTCAACTACAAAGGTTCATGAGATACAACCTGGTGACAGACAGACAATGGAGTCTTAATAATAGGATCCCGTTTTACCCTTTGGGTACTGAACCCTAAAACCGTAATTCAAAAAAGAATAATATAGATATTATAATTAGACAAGCAAATAAAGATCATGAAATTTATAAAGGAGACATTTGGAAATTATCGAGTCCACATTTGGATGCAAAAATATTTAAAGAAAATAACATTAAAAACATTAATTACCTATTTACATTATAATTCTTTCTAATATTTCAATTTGTATTACATATGTGGCAAAAGAAATCGGTATTAGGAAAGAAAAATAGTATAAATTAGTATTTTTCTTTGTACAGACATTCATTATTAACTGTATATTGCTTCTACTTCTTTTCATATGATTCAATTATTAATTTACTAATGCATTACATCTTAATAGCATGTGATTTATGCTTCATAATTTCAAATACTTATGCATTATAACAGAGGTGGTTGCAATTGTGACATTGAGATGCAATCCGACATGGATGTTGACTCGGATGGTTACTCAACAGTATCTGAGAACGTAACCTCTGACACAAGTGTCCATGATGACGAAGAATTCAATGATGCTTCAATCACCCGATCCATCAACAACTCTGGGAGTTATGACAGCGAGACGGACAGCTACAGCAATGATAGTATCGGTCAGGAATCGGAGATGGACGATTCTTTAAGTAACAGTGACATGAGTGAGTCCTCATGCACAGGAGATGAAACACAAGAGAACATGACATCCACCGTGAACAATTCATTTGAAACTGGGTACTTAACAACTATGAACACCAGTGTGTCAAGTTCAGACTCTTCGTCTGATGTAGCTGCCGAGTGGGACGTCACAAACTCGTCCCAGGATGTACCTGAATACTCTGGTTCCAGGTCATCAATACGCCGATTCTTTGGTAATATCAGTACGATAATTAGCCCGAGGCGTCGAAGAAATCGGAATAGAATGTAAGTTATGAGGCACTGTTTTATCTGTTTTCGGCGGCAATGACCCTAGTTCCAGCTGCGGTAGATTTTGAACGTGATATTATCTCGTAATTTCTATATCCCCAATTGGGGATGCACATTTCAATAACTTCTTTTAAGTTCTTCTGTTTAATTTTCCCAATACTGAATCCATCTTTGAATATAAATATGTCTTATCAACCCTGAAATATTTGCCAATAAATTGTCATGCACTGTTGTTACATTTATGCAAATTTTAAATATAGTGTGACAGTAATTTAAATTTTTTATAGTGCTAATCTTTGCACTTAAGATTGAACATTAAAATATGTAGAAAAAGTGCGAAAATATTGTCGCCGCTGTGGGAATCGAACCCACGTCTTCGGCATTCGCGGCCTGACGCTCTAGCCACTGAGCTAAACGGCTGATTGCCACACCGACGAAAATCCTAACGTATTCTTCCATATTGTTTTCTTAGCATTTGATGATGATCTTTTAATGTTCAATCTTAAGTGCAAAGATTAGCACTATAAACAATTTAAATTTCTAAAAAAGCAATGGCGACATCTCTCGTTCGAATTATCGTTGTAAAACGATATTTGAAATTGTTTGTATGCTGGAAAGGATATAAACAATAGATGGCGCCAAGCATTGCTTCAAATGCTAAGAAAACAATGTAGAAAAATACGTTAAGATTTTCGTCGGTGTGGCAATCAGACGTTTAGCTCAGTGGCTAGAGCGTCAGGCCGCGAATGCCGAAGACGTGGGTTCGATCTCCACAGCGGCGACAATCTTTTCGCACTTTTTCTACATATTTTAATAGTGTGACAGTGTTACTGTAAAAGACCATATACTAAATGTTCAATTAATATGTACATTTAAAAATGATTTGACCTCAACTATCAATGACAACTTGTTAAGAGTATCTTATGCAACACTCTTTTAATTAAAGTTTTTTAGTTTAATTGTCTGCTACCAGCTAATCAATAATTATTGATAAATGCTTATCATTCAGTCATTCATTATAAAATCATTAATTTACTAACTCAACACTAAAAGTGTATATTATGATTAATATTCATAAAACTTGTCTATGTTAATTGCTGCTTATTGCTAATGCTGCCATATACTTTGGCTTTTTTCCTACACATAAATATCATTAAACTTAGGAACGAAAAGCTTACATACATTTGAATAATAAAAAAAAAAAGAAGCCCGCCAATACGCAGTGGGCCGTGTGGTAGAATATTCCCTGATATCTTCTGTACGGAGGAGGCCTATACCCGGCAGTGGGACATGTATTGGCTGGTACTTTAACTTTTTTCCTTTTACATAAATATCAATAAAATGTGTCATCTTAAAGGATGATCTTCATTTGTTTATTGGTGATTTACAGGACAGAGGAGGAACAGTTGAATATTCTCAGAGATCAAGCATTGTAAGCTTCCAATTTACTTGTATATCATGCAAATACTTTAGATGTGGCTGTAGCTTGGGCCCAATAAGTATGCTCAAATTAGAGTATGCTCAATTTGTAGTATGTAATGTAAAATGTTAGTGTAATGGATTTAATTTTCTATTAATATATTATATCAGAACCTGTGAGATTTAAAAAGATCCATTTTCCAATTGTGTTGCTATTTATGAAAGATTATATTGAAAATTCCTACATTACAGTCCAGAGCTGGAGCCATCTGTAGTATTTGCTTGTTTCGCAATAGACTAACAGTTTGTTTTGCAAGATTTTACACCCTAATCAAACACACTGTTTTTTTTTTTAATTCTACTCAAATAACTATTTTGGTAAAATTACTATTTTGGTTTGACTCACAGTATACGAGGAAGTAATGGGGATGAAACGTGTGGGAATAAATTTATATTTTTTTTTTAAAAACAACTGTTATAAATGCATAAGGCGCATGTTAAACTATGTCTTAATAGATATTGTGTCTTTGTACTTAAAAAATTACAGAGTAAAAAAGCTAAATTCTCATAGAATGATTTTATGTTTACAATAACATAGGGGGCATTCCACGCGAAGTAGACAGGGAAAAAAAGTTGATGTTTCCGATTTTAGTAATATTTGATTATGTTATACCTATATGTGTCCTCAATCCTGATACAAAATATTTTTACAGTATAAAATGTAGTTTAGAGAGCTTTAAAAATGTGACTAACCGGCAGGTATGCGCCACTTCGAATCCCATTATCCGGTATTGAAAAGAGAAATGGAAATAAATGAAGTAGTCATAGCGCCGGTGCCCGGATCGCGCCTACTGCCAGTTAACGCGAGATTACAAAACATCCAACAGAATATTTTGTTTACCTAATTGAGTTAAAAAAATCATTTGATCTTACTTAGATGTACTTAAATTTACAATAAAACGACGTTATTATGTTTCGATTACTTATAAATGTTTATTAAAGAATCTTCATGTTATTTCTGCGTTTTATCATAGTGCCTTCAGCACTCGGAACGAAGGCATGGTATTTTTTTGAATCTGATATTGTCATTGAGGAGTCAAATCTGATTTTTAGCCTCTTTCCGTATATAAACATAGTAAGATTACTTTGCCGCATTGATATTGAAGCCATTTCGCACCCTGCGTAGAACGTGACATTTGCAAAATTGTAATTGTTCAGGACGGCCGATTCAAATTATATTTTTTTATTTTTTTAGTCACATTTTTAAAGCTCTCTAAATCGTAAACTAAATTTTATACTGAAAAAATATTTTGTATCTGGATTGAGGACACATATAGATGTAACATAATCAAATATTACTAAAATCGGAAACATCAACTTTTTTTACCTGTCCGCTTCGCGTGGAATGCCCCATATACTACATTACTTACAAGCTTTGTGATTAGAATAATGTTATGCGCTTGTTAGACGAGTTGTAATTCGAAGAATACAAAATTTTTTTTTAAATGAAAGTATATTATCATACATTGCACCCGTGTGAAGCCTGGGCTTGTTGTGAGTGTCAACCCGTAAATATTAACTCTAAATTGTTCAAAGCATAGGAAGTTTAAAAACCATATAAAGCGCTACTAGTTTTGAAAAATCGTTTTATTTAATCTTTGAAAACATTAGGAAGGGAATTGCATTGACATTTTTATTAAGAATTTTAATCCATACTAATATTATAAATGCGAAAATAACTCATTTACGGTGGTAGGGCCACGCAGCAGCCTCGGCTGTTGCACGAATGGGCTGGCCCGTACGGGTAAGTACCACGACCTCACAGAAGACCAGCGTAAAGTGGAAGTATGACAAATACTTTCGCGTTTCGTCTGGTGAGTGAGGTGGCCGGAGCCCAATTTTCAAAGGGTTGTCAACGTATCTGTAACCCTCGGGTGTAGCAGATGTCCATGGGCGGAGGTATTCACTTACCATCAGTTGAACCGTCTGCTCGTTTGGCAACTTTTCAAATAAAAAAAAAACTGTCTCGCTTTCACACGAAAACTACTGAACCGATTTAAATGAAATTTTGTACACAGATAGTCTAGAGCCTGAGAAAGGACATAGGCAATTTTTTTTTTGGAAAAAGTGTTTTAAAGGGTTGAAAGATTGTTGGTGGAAAGGTTAAAGAAAGATATTTATTTAAAGACTTCAACACAGGCGCAGCTGCGGGCGAAAAGCTAGTAAAACATATAACACAAATGTTCAAAGAAAAGATGTGACATTGATAACATGAATTTAACGAAGTTGATATTGCGATGACTTTTGGTTTTCTTTTCCCGACTAACAATGTGGTTTGATGACATCCTTAACGAGTTTATTATATTTTGTGCCTAACCATTTGTAGTTTGTAAGTGGTAGGGAAGAAGTAATTAAATTAACTCGGTGTGGTTGCACCATTAGCAATATGAGTATTAACAATTTTACATGTTTAGCAAAACAACTGTCGTTAGGGCTTGGAGGTGGGTTGAAAACGGTACTTATCACAAATACTTGCGCATTATCATTAATACTTACTGTTGCATGAATGGGCAGGCTCCTCCGGGTAAGTACCACGACCTCACAGAAGACCGGCGTAAAGTGGAAGTGTAATACTTTCGCGTTTCGCCAGGTGAGTGAGGTGCCGGAGACCAATTTTCAAAAGGTTGTCAACACATCTGCAAACCCTCGGGTGTAGCACATGTCCATGGGCGGCGGTATTCACTTAACATCAGGTGAACCGTCTGCTCGATTGGCAACTTTTCACATAAAAAAAATATTGTACATATGGCAGATGGCAAGGTTCGTTCGGGAAGGCACCACCGCCTCCCATTATATATTTTTTGACTGAGGGTATTAAATCATTCACCGACACAACAACATATGTTTACAATCACTCGAACATGGACCTGAATAGGCCTTAGTAGCAGAAAACTGCGTTTCTGTGACTGTTGCATAGGCTAGGGTAACCCTGTGCGACAGACATGCCCATGGTGGGTTTATTTTTCCTTTTTAGAAAGGGGTACTCAACCCTCAATCCCTAGACGAAATAAAGAAGTATAACACTTCCACTTCACGTCGGTCTTCTGAGGGGTCGTGGTACTTCCCCGGACGTACCTGCCCGTTCGTTTAACAGCGAAGACTTGCGTGGCCCTGCCACATTAAATATATACAGCGTGTCGTTACCATCGCGACAATAAATAATACGTTCGTCGCAACTAGGACAAACTTCGGTTCAACTTTTAGGCGGGATTCATGAATAACAACATTTTCTTTTTGTTTTTTTTTTAAATCCCAACGGTTGTAAACTCTGCAAGCGATTCGCTGTGGTAAAAGATGGCCGCCGTTTATGAATACTCACGACACGATGTCGCCAATCACCGAGAATGTGGGCGTCGTTAGTGCATACGCGAAATGATACTTCAAGCCGGTCTTCTGCAAGGCCGTGGTGCTATGGAACGAGCAGAACTGGAATGTACTAGCTGAAGCCAGCTGTATGCTAGTCAGCTGTGAGGATGGCCAATTGGCCAATCTTAACTCTTACCGGGGTACGCACTTGCATCGCCTTGCTGAAAACGACATCGTATCCAGCACGGCCGAGCTGCAGTCTCCTCCCATCGGCCTGTTCCGATCGCAGCAGCCCTCGTGATAGTGGGCGTCCGCAGACCAGGACTGTTGTAAGAATCGAAACTCTGACCCGCCTGCTTATCCGTCCCCAGCCGCGAGCGTCCCTGGACCACGGAGGAGTGCTCCATATGCTTCGAGGCGATCCGCCGCGAGCAAGAGGTGATGACCCTGCCGTGCACCCACCACTTCCACCAGGGGTGCATCCTGCCCTGGCTCCAGGAGCAGCAGACCTGCCCCAACTGCCGTAAGCGCATCGAATGATGCCAGGTAATCTCGCCAGATTTTCCCGCCAATTTTGAGGCATAGGATCGATGCTGCTTTGACGCTCTTGGAAAGCACTGACGATCCGCAAGTGTACCTTCACCTTCCTTGTTGCTTTGGTTAATTCAAATTCAGAAGAAACTCCACTTGGTAGGACCGCGCAACAGTGTTCATTGTTGCACGAATGGGCAGGCTCGTCCGGGTAAGTACCACGAACTCGCAGAAGACCGGCGTAAATAGAAGTGTTACACTTCTGCGTTTCGTCTGGTGAATGAGGTAGCCGGTGCTCATTTTATTTATATGTGGCAACGCATTTGCCTACCTTACGGGTGTTGCAAATGTCGATGGGTGGTGGTTATCACTTACGACCTGATGCTAGGGGATTACCCCCAAGGACCTTCCATCAGTTTGAAAGGATTTGAAGAAAACTGTGAAATAATGATTGTGAATCTTATAGAACAGCCTCAGAAAACACTGGGAGGCAAACTGAAAGTTTATTATTTTCCTTGACATGACAATTACTATATGAAATTTCATAGAAAACCAGCGGATGCTTTGCATATTAATGACTTGCAGTAATTACTTTGTTGTGCCAGCTGCTGTAACTTTCAATATGTTACTTATCACAAATGTGCTTGTAATTTTTGTAACCTAAAACTTTTTTATCTAAATAAAGATTATTATTATTATATTTAAAGTGCTCTTTGATATATTAAATATTTATCTTATTACAGCATATGCTTCGATCATCAGTCAAGATCATCTTTAAAGGGCTGCGGGTAGAATTATTTCAGCTCTACAATATTTTTACATGTTGGTTTGTGCCTGAAGTTTTACCGAGACCCGTTTGCTTCTTCTTAGCATGTTACTTATCAACTAACTATATCCTATTTTTCTACAATATTTTCTACTTATATTTGTTTAAATTATTTTACATTTCTTTTTTGTTTCATTTGAACATATTTAAATATATTTATCATGGAGCGTAGAAGTGAGGTGAAACAATCTCTATTTATAAAAAATGTCCACCAAAAATAGTTAAACAGTGATGGTGAATTAATAGTTACCATTGTTACTGGCTACCAAAATTCAGCTACGCTAGGTACATAATACACCTTTGTTAAGCCAGCCCCATTCTGTTGGGTTTTGGAATTGCTATTTACCACTTAACTCTCGACAAATTTTTCAACTTATCTCCATACAAGATTGTCCTCCCTATTTCTAGGCGCCAAAATGCACTGTACCTTGTTTGTCTTTCTTTCCCACTAGTACTGTTATATGAAGTTTTTATATCTCATAGGACCTATCTCAACCTATCTCAACACTCCATATCCGAGCTACTGAGTTTAAAGAAGTGTCCATTCTCAATCGTTGTACGAAATAAATGAAAATAAATAATATCCAAAGATATAATTTACAGGATATATATTAGCTTTTCATGAGAGATATTTTATATATTATTTTTTTAAATATACTATTTGTATCTTTTCTATCACTCACTCATAAACTACACTGATCCATTAGGTGCATAAGAACTTGGTTTAGTAAATAACGAGAAATGTCGAAAAAATGTTATTTCCATATACTTTATGAATCATTTCTAGTCACAACAACTTTAGGTATAAGCCAACATCCACATTTTCTTTATTTCATGTAGTGTGTATGTTTAGAATAAAATTTAAGTTTGTTATGATAGGTTTGAATTTTAGTTTACTTAGATTTTGGCATAAAAAATATAAGCGTTATTTAATCTATTAACTTCAATTCACTTACGCTGTGTTCATTATTTTTTTATTTTACTAGAATTAAAAAACGTGTGTGCAAAAACAAGAATATGACCATTAGAAATTTAATTTATACTTTGATATTACCAAATACTTCAGTGTCAGTAGAATAATGAAAATAGATGTTATTGTTTTAAATTACCAGTGCCTTATATTGAGATATTTTAAATACTATGTGTTATATATTTCAATTGTATTTCACTATATTAGGAATAAAAGTTTGAAAAATTAAAAAATGACCTGAAATTTTATGTGTACTTATCAATGACAAGAAATACATGTAATTTTTAATAAACCTACCTATTGACATATGTATATTGACTTTTGTTCTATGTTTCTCATGTGATATTTTGTCCTATAACCTAAGTAAACAAATTGTAAATATAAATAGGGTACCGTAAAAAAGGAGTTTGCATTGTAAATTGTAATACTACTTGCACAAGATTCAACTATTATAAGTGAGTGTATTATTATTGCATATAACCTAAAAAAACATTGCTATTTATGTCTTTATGTCCACTTACAAATGTACTATATTTCTAGGAAGTTTAAAAAACGACTTAAAAATTTCAAAGTTGTTGACAGGAAGTGTCAAAATAAAAAGTTAATTATTTTTTTTAATAAAATATTGCAGTCAAACAGGTTTAAGATTTATATCTGTGAAGAATGCTAGAAATAATGCATTATAGCTTGGTGTAGAAAAGGTGCCTTAAATTGTAACCAGTTTAAATTAATGAATGTTTTACATAGTCGCAAATGCATTAAACTTCTTCATCAAATACGATCTGGTTTGTAATTTGTTGTTGTGTAGATCTCTTTTTATTGTGATAAATTTTATTTCGCCTGAATAAAATGTTAATATATTGGTAATAGGTTTAACAATAAAATTCTTGATTACATCCAATTGGGTATTGCTTACAACATTTTACCTCTTATTATGTATCTGAAGATACAAATGCAATAAGTAAACAATGCATAATAAAGCATGAAAGTGGAAAAAAATCTCAAGATGCATCCGTTTTCTCGCCCCCATGTTACCTAATCGCTGTCTCTTTGACTTTTCGCCACTCCGTGAACGTTAACAACACATCTGCAGTATCTTATACATTTAAAAGAGCAATTCTTGTATATATATAATCGGAATCTCGGAAACGGCTCCAGCGAAAAAGCTTTACATGAAATTTATTATGTTCGTAGATTCGGGAGCGTAAAATCGATCTGGCTAGGTTTCATTTTTAGAAAATGTCGTTTTATCCCTGTTTTCAGGGAATAAAAAATATCATTCGAATATGACGGTTAATTTCGCCGACAAAAAAATGTTATAATAGCTCGGTTAGTAACATAGATAAGACATATATACTGAATGGTTAGTTAGTAATCGGGCGGCAACGAAACAGAAAGCCGCGGTTCGTGTCACGATCATTTACAAACTTATTTTTTTTACTTTTTTTAAAAACCGAGCATAGCATTCGGTCATCCTGGTACTATAACTAAATTACGCTACAAACGGATATAATATTCTTTTTATTAATAATCAAAGTTTTAATAATCATGATAAATTTCGTCGGACATATGTTTATAAATCGATGCTTGTGAAATATACTAAAATTCATGTATTCTTTTAATCTATTTTATATGTTCCTTACAATTTGAAAAGCCCGCCAACGGCGCCTTACGCGAACCTTTTAGCGAAACGCGGCGTTATTAGAACCTTTAATCACCAGATAGTATCAAATTCGCTTTTCAAAAAGATATTTTTATTAATTACTCTTTGTGCTAAGCGGTGATTGAAGTAAATAATATTTACGTGGACTTAAATGGTGCTGACAATTTTCCAGCTTACATTAATTGCAAAAGCATAAGATAAAATATATTCGTACTATCTGTGAATCATTTCTTTGCTTAGCTATAGTTCCAATTAATTTCCGGTATGTAAAAGAACTCTGTGGTTCCATTCCAACGTATCAATTCAAAAAACGACGAATAAAATAAAATTCGGGGTAGTCACATAATTTCCTAAATGTTACCCTACTGATATTTTAAAAACGTGAAGTAGGCAAATTTTGTGCATTATTATAAAATAAACTGTAACTATAGTTGTATTCAAGTTGTAATTATATCCATTTGCACGACAATTATACCTACCTTATTCCAGCTTAAATTTTTATTGACTTTGGTTTTATATTAGTTTTTTTTTGGAGGTAGAATATAATACTCTAGTATTTTCACTAGTCTTATATTTTATGTATGACATTCAATGCTGATTTAACTGGCGTATTAGAAAAAAATATTCAGAGGTGATTGTGCAACTTGCGTTCTTTACACAAAACTTCTAGAAAAGTTGATTAAATACAATAAGATATAGTAAAATGTAATACAATATCTAAATGAAACTAATTGAGATTCTAGCAAATGTTTTATTTCTTCCAATAGTTGACTTAAATATAGCATATTTCTTGCTAAAAAAGTAAATGATAATGATGTACCCTAACATACCATTAGTTGGTTATGTAGACTAAACATAACATAAATTTTCATGATTATAAAATAATACATATTTCGTAATAAGTGTATTAAGTTTTTGTTGGCACTTATCATGAACGAGATATCGAGATTTAATCAAAATCTCAATATATTTTTTCGGCATCCCTAGTAGTCTCGCCAACTTATGACTTTTAGCCCCTAGGGCGGAATATGCATGATGGGCTTTTTTAGGGTCCAAAAATTTTAGGGCCATGAATCAATATTTTCAATGACCAAAATGAGTGAAATAAAAGAAAAATGTCTGTTAATGAAATTATAAATGAAACTAATTTTACGGATTTATCGCGTTTATTTTTAATTTTAGTCCCGACGTTTCGAACCCTTTACAGCGTTCATGGTCACGGGACAGACTGAGGTGTTAGACGTCTGATTGTCAAAGTTAACCCGGGCTACCGTCAGTTTTTGTATTATTGATTATGTGTCCGATCTATGCAGAGGGAGCTAATTGTATCTTGTCTTGCAGTAGTGGTTTTTTTGGGCTTAGATTTAATTTTATTGATGATAGGATCCCAAGCTTAAGGTAGAATAAACGCGATAAATCCGTAAAATTAGTTTCATTTATAATGTGTAATCGCGTAAATACAAGAAATTATTATGTTAATGAAATGTTTGTTAATATTGCGTTGTTTTGTTAATTATTATTATCTTGATTTTAGGGTAATTTCTTTTTAGTAGTTGGCAACACTGCCCTGTGACTTGTCTGTTGTCTGTAGCTGCTTGCACCTACCCTACTTGATATTCCGACTCTTCCGTAAAATAGCACGGCAGAATGAGCTTCCAGAAACAGGATCGTGATGATAAAGGCAGCGACAGCACAGGATGGGCCGCTTTAGGAATCGCTGCCATCGGCGTGGGAATTGGCGTGGGACTCGCTTACCTTTTCAGTGGGTCCTCCAAGCTACCGCACTGTAGCCGGGCGACAAATGGTGCTGGCGCGTCTACTAAAAGGAGCAATAAGAAGTAGTAAGTATGAATAACTAATATTTTCTTACCCTTTGCTTACAAATTTCAGTCGGCAAGTAAATAGAAAACAAGCAGCAGTTTATAATTTTAAGTGATACTTAAGAATGTTTTTAACTTTTAATTACATAACTTTTTGTTTTTGTCACATTTCTTGTTTTGCCCCTAATTTGCTTTAACTTATTTATTAGAACTTACGATTTAAACTTATAACTAAACTATAGCTAGCCTAACCTAAGTTTGATTCCGATCGATGCTAGATCAAGAATGACTGCCTTACTAAAATAAATCGTTAACCAAAGTTCTTGAATACGGTAAGCAGCGGTGTCGACTGGCGACGTTTCCATGGACGTCAGCTATATTGGAAGTCGTGGAACATAGCGGTGTCGCCTGACAACGCTCCCACGAACGTGAGCGCGGCCTGGATGTGTAATCCGTTTACATGGTTTCAGCAAAACTTGATCGTGGGATTGTGTCGCGATGTTGCGAAGAAAACGCTGCTCAGTTGCACTTTTCTATGGGAACGGATATGTAACACCGTGTACCCTTCAAATATACCACCCGTCGAACCAGTGTTGTTTATTTTTAACAAATTGTGGAGCTGAAGTGTGTTTGCACTTGTTCCAGTCGACGGCGCAAGGCGGGTTGCGTGACATGTTCCGTGTGCATTGAGGACATCGCCTCGATAGTGACGCTGCCGTGTGGACACCGCTTCCACGACAAGTGCGTCAGGCGTTGGGTGCAAGGCCTCGAAAGTTGCCCAAACTGCAGAAGGCCGACGACACTGGACCAGCTGAAGTGTTCGAGTTAGCCGTGCACAGATTTTTTTTTTTTTTGCGATTTTTTTTTTTTGCGAAAGCATTTTCCGTGATCCCGGCGCATTTCCACTCGATCGATTCGGCCATTTTGCGTGACCACGGCAACTTACGGTGTATTATTTCAATTCCTTCTCGAATTCTGACCCTCGTGTATTACTACAGCCTTTATATCCATCAGTGTCTTTCCATGTTTTGCGAAAGATTATAAAAAAGTGTACTTTTCGTTAAGATTATTTTTTATTATGTTTTTGGCGCGTTTGAGAAAACATTACAAACACTGATTTGTAATTTTGTATTAAGCTTAAACGCTGTTCACTAATCATTGTTTGTATATCTTGATTCTGAATGTTTTATTATTAGTATTATGTTTCTATGAGATCTCAAATCGGTAAAATTTATGGTATTATTTGATTTTTGTAAATTAGCTGAACTTAATTTAGGCTTTTATGAAGGTAGTACAATGCTTAGGAAAGAAATATTAAATTTATTAATATATATACAACAGAAAAATAACTAGAATTCAATAGAAATATAAAAAAAAAACACGCACCTTAACCGTTCTTTGCTGACATGATTGAATTAAAATATATAATTTGCAACTGTACCGTCCTTATCATAAGGGCGCATGGGGCGCCTGCCCAGGGCCTTGTCGCTTCGGGGTGCCTCCGCATGGCCTACGTATTCACTTAAACGATAAAAAAAATTCTGTATTTTTTCTAGATATATCCTGACTGAAGTTTATGGAATAAATGAAAAAATATAAGATAATAGCTTTCATTCACTTTTGTTACTTTCCATCAGGGCCCCAAATTTTTGTGTGCCCTAGGGCCCCGATATGGCGTAAGACGGCTTTGTGTGCAACATGGGATGTACTCGGGTTAATTCTCTTCATTCAAGCACTTTGTAGCTTTTTGTTTTGTTATCAGGCGCAAGAACAAATGAAGGGGATGGTATCCCGACACGTAACGCCGCGTTCAATTTCAGTTCTATATCTCCAAACGCATTCCGTTGTATTTTTTTGGTTGGTTTAGATTTTGAAGTATGATTACAAACCTATAGTTGTAAATTTTGCGGTGGTAAACCAGGCACATCCAAGGAGCTTAAAAATCAGTTGGATGATTAGTGGCTTCGTATTCGTTTGTTACACAGTGAATAGATTTGAATGAATGCAGAGTACGGTGTATGTATTCACCGAATTTCAATATTCTACGTTACAACGTGTTCTATTTTTTGGAAATAAGTAGCCATTATGGAATCGTCCAACTGTTCTCGACAACAAAATCGTTTTCTTTCACTTTCGTTGTGATGGTTCTACCGTTATCAAAACGGTAATGGCAATTTCACTTTGACATTAAGGCAGCAAAATTCAGGCTTTTCATCAGCAAACATCAATGCGCCACAATGCTCGCAAACAACATCCATTGGACCAAAATAAACGAAAGGATGCGAGTTGTAGTCAATGGTGCAATCGGAAAGACGCGGTGCTCGATTCAAATGAACATATTTTGAAGCATTTCTTCTTGAACTTCGAAGATTATAACCGAGTAGCCTAACAGTTTCACGACGTTGCTCTTAGGTTTGAAAAGCACAAATTTGAGTCATACCTCGCACAAAACAAACAAATCTACCAGTATTGCTTGTTCCAGTAAGCGAAAGTACTTTAATATTTTGTATAAAGATTTAATTTGATAATATACAAACTAGGGTTGATGAGGATGTAGTTATAAGGAAGAGAATGAGGATGAGGATTATTTTTTTTAATTGAGGATGAGGATCTGCTATGAGGAAGAGGAAGAGGTAATAAGTAACAACATAATAGAAATATCCTTTTACAATTAAAACAAAACCTTCAAAGAACAAATTACTTTTGTAGGAAACGTTTTTAATTTATTACTTTGTGTTAAAAGTAGTGCGGAAAAATAATTAATATCAAAAATTAAATTCTAGCAAGTTGAATTTAATAAATAATAATTTAAATGCTATTTCTCCTGATAAACGGTTTCACAGCTCATGGTCAACCAACCATGCATCACTTAAAAGGCTTTCACTGGGAACACTTGATGGAGGGGCTGATAAATACTGACGTATACTACTCCATAAAGTTCAAAACATTTTGGGTTCACTTTCCACCATGAAAGACTGTCTTCAGTGATATTCAGTCTCATTTAATATAATCAGCAAACAATGAATTAACTAAAGCATGTCTGTTTATTAGTGAGCATGATTCGTTATTTTCATCGTCACTGTTAGGTGCTGAATTTAGCATATCAACTAACATAGAATTCAAAATTCTGTTTTCGTCAAGCGCTACCACAGGATTGGCCGTGGAGGTATCTTGTATTAACTGATGTTTTTGCTTTCAGTCCCGAGACTATTAAAGCTTCATCTGACGCAGAACCGGTGGGCAAGCCAGAAGCCACGGGTTTGGGCCGTCCGCTGTGGGTAGGGCCACGCATGTGCTCATGCGTGCGTTTAACTATGGTGTGTCATCTAAGGGCCATCGAGGTCGCGGTTTAGACCGAAACCCCGATGGCCGTCGACTGTGCAATTAGCTAATCGGTGGCTTGGAGCGGTGAGAACCGCCCCGGAACGCGGGTGTACCTTGTGTACGCGTTGTGTTGGTCTCGCTGTGCTCGGAGGCGAGGGCGAACTAGTGTGCAGGCCCCCGGTGGTGGGTCCGGCGTGTCTAAGTCCCCTTTCTCGACCGGGTCGATTAGGACGTTTCGCGGGCGACGCTTGTTGACGTTCGCGTTTGTGTCAGGTTGGTAATTTGCTGCGCTTACCACCGGGTATATAGGTATATATTGGGTTGGGATGATGTTCGGCTCTATCGAAGAACCGTTTGGTTAGGTCTTTAAAATATTCGCGAATCGTCGGGAGTCTGCAATCGCTGTGCAGGTCGACGTAACGTCGATACCGCTGCGCAAAGGTTGCGCGGCGGATGAACTTATTTTGTACTATTTGCAACTTTTACAAGCGAGTAGGGTGCTTGTGGGCGAAGGTCATGCATGCGTAATAGGTAGTACGCAGATCTTATATAAAAATAATTTGTGCCTTAAGCATGATCACTTCAGAAAGTGGAAAAAAATCTCAAGATGCATCCGTTTTCTTATCCCCATGTTACCTAATAGCTATCTCTGACTTTTCGACACTCCGAGAACGTTAACAACACATCTGCAGTATATACTAAATTACGCAACAAACGGATATATCATTTTTCTAAATAATAAAAATTTTAATGATCATGATGAATTTCGTCGGACATATGTTTATAAATCGATGCTCGTGAAATATATTAAAATTCATGTATTCTTTTAATTTATTTTATATGTTCCTAATTATAAAGAGGAAAGATTTGATTGTTTGTATGTATTGAATAGGCTCTGAAACTACTAAACCGATTTGAAAAATTATTTCACTGTTGGGAAGCTACATTATCCCCGGTTGATATAGGCTATATTATATTTTCAAAATAAGTATGGATCCTTACTGAAACTTCAATAATTTAACCCAAAGTGTACAAAAATTACCTAAAATATTCTTTACATCGCGTGCGCTGCGAAAACTATTGATGATAGAATAAAATAATGTACTTCGAATTTGTAGAACACATCATTTTTTACAAAAAGTTTCGCGACAGCATATACCTATCTATTATAGTTATGCCACAATAAGTGTTATTTTATTTTAAAATTTTGATTTAAATGCCACCGCTAGAAAAGGCTCTTTATTATTATCTTGTTATTAATCCTTATAAAAAATAAAATAATTTATATTTAAGACTGTTTCCATATCTTTATAAAACTTTTTGAATTATTAAATTCGGACATTCCATTCGAAAGATATCACAAGTTTAAAAATGTTAGTATATCTTTCTTATCCTTTAAACATTATAATAGCTCTAAATTTTATAATATCGGTCGGTAATCAGGCGGCCCCAAAACCGACGGCCGCGCTTCGTATCACGATCATTTACATAATTATTTTTTACTTTTTTTCGATTCCAGATCATTGCTTTCTTTATTTTTTATTTTTGGTCGATTTGTTATTTTGTTATTTTTTCCCGTTTTTCTTAAGTTCTTTCTTTTGTGAAAAACACCAGTTCATATTTTCTTATTATTATCTCGGTAAGATCGAATTATTTTTTATCACTTTAAAATGCCCAAAAGATCAAAATCTCATCTTTCTAGAAATAGATCCCAGGCGAGGTCATCAAAAATACGTCATAATGAAGAATCTTCACCGGAAACTGAAAATCGTTTTACAAGTCGGAGAGAGTCAAGAAGAGTGTTTGCAGCGGCTTGAAGAGCATAGTAATATAAATATACTAATTACTATCACACTAGGGAATCGAGTTCTGAGCGTTCCCAACGCCCACGAGATTAGAGAGAAAGACAACAAACGTTAATGACTAGAGTTCGTAATCGACTTTTAGCTTATAGTAACAGATTAGCTTTCATGCATTATGCTCAACAGTCTTCCGTCCAAATCGGAGCCACGAATAAGATCTGTTCTAAGTGTTCTGCCAAAAATGGGTCGATGAACCAAAAGGTATGTGCTGTGGCTCTGGAAAAGTTAGTCTCCCCAATATTGAGAAGCTGCCGCAACAAAAAAAATCTTTTTACAAATAATCATTCACCATCAGGACATTTTAAACAACATCCGAAAGTACAATAGCCTCCTTCAAATGACAAGTTATCATCATCCTCCCGCCCCTATCCCACCTAGGTGGGGTTGGCACAACATGAATCATGTTGTAAGCAGTTTTGGCTATATTTTTACAACCAGCCGCCTACCTGACGTCAACCCTCCTTGGGAAAAAAATACCCAGATCAAATTTCAACTCTGTAACTATGACGGTTCATGAGATACAGCCTGTTGACAGAGGGACAAACAGACAGCGGAGTCTTAGTAATAGGGTCCCGTTTTACTCTTTGGGTACGTTTCACAAACGATGTATTTCTGTTGCCGCTATAACAAATACTAAAAAACAAAAAAGTATAAGTAAGTTGGGCTCTTATAAAACAGACATGACTTTTTTGCCGTTTATATAGATAATGTTGCCAGTAGTAGTGTTTTTGACAATATGTAAGTGTAATACTTCTATATTGAATAAAGATATAAAAATGTGATTTTTTTTAATGTAATAGAGTGGAGCTGGCGGTTTACCTGATGTTAAGTAATAACCGCCGCCCATGGACATTTGCAACACCTGTAGGGTTGCGAACAACTGTAGGGTTGCAAATCAGTTGCAATCTTTAAATAAAGTGGGCCCCGGTTACCTCTCTCACCAGACGAAACGTAGAGAAGTATAACACTTCTATTTTACGCCGGTCTTCTGTGAGGTCGGTACGGAAACCTTAGTGTGCGAGTCCAACTCGCGCTTGGCCGGTTTTTATTCAATACATTGTCGATATGAAGGCAAAAAGATATCTGAAAGATTGAATTAAATATGATGTTGTGATTACCAGAGACTGAGGGCTGGTGAAACATTCATCTTAGAGACGCTTTAAATCGCAATCAAACGCGTAATCTGCAACGTCATATTCATTTACAGGTTCTTCGAGTTATCTTCATGAAAAACCAAAGATGCGATGATTTATGTCCGAAGCTATGGGAGACCGGACCTATTTTATTTGTCACTTTTACGTGTAACCCCGAATGTCCCGTAATTAAAGAATTTATCTGGTCAGCGGTCTTTCGATCTTCATGACGTAATTTCAAGGGTATATCATTAAAAGATGAAGAAATTCATAAAATTATTCGGAAGGTTTTGTGTGTGTGTGATAATTTTTAATTTTAAAATTTTGTTTAATCTCCGTGCGATGCCGGGGCGGGTCGCTAGTCTATTTTATATGTTCCTAAAAATTTGAAAAGCGAGCCAACGGCGCCATACGCGTTATTACAAACTTTAATCACTAGATAGTATCAAATTCGATTTTCAAAAAGAAATTTTAGCAAATACGTAATTACTCTTTGTGCTAAGCGGTGATTGAAATAAATAATGTTTACATGGACTTTAAAGGTACTGACAATTTTTCAGCTTGCATTAATTGCAAAAGCATAAGGTAAAATACATTCGTACTATCTGTGAATCATGTCTTTGCTTAGCTATGGTTGCAATCAGATTCCGGTAGGTATGTAAAAATACTCTGTGGTTCCAACGTGACAATGATAGAACGACGAACGAAATAAGATTCGGGGAAGTCACATATTTTCCTAAATGCTACCAGCTGATAATTTAATAACGTGAAGTAGGCAAATTTTGTTCATTATTATGAAATAAACTGTAACTATGCATAAGCTGTAATTATATCTATTAGCACGACAATTATACTTTAATTCCGCTTAAATTTTTATTGACTTTTGTTTTATATTAGTTTTGTTTAGAGGTAGAATGTAATACTCGGGTGTTTTCACTAGTCTTTTATGTTATGTATGATATTCAATGCTGATTTAAGTGGCGCATTAAAATAAAATATTCAGAAGCGATTGTGCAACTTGCATTCTATACACAAAACTTCTAGACAAGTCGAATAAATACAAAAAGGTATAAAAAAATATAAATAAATATAAATATAGTAAAATGTATGATATCTAAATAAAAGTTATTGAGAGCAAATGTTTTATTTATCTTAATGGTTGACTTAAGTAAATAGATACTCTAAAACAATTAAATGATAAGGGTCTACCCTTCTAGTTCTGTAGATCGAACATAACATAAGTATATATATATATACAGGGAGGTTTTTTGAGAAGTGCCCTAATTTACACAGGAGGTTCAGGCTCGGTAGTATAATCGTTTATGGAAATAAAAAACAAAATTTTTTTTCAAAAAAAAAAAAATGCCATTCTATTCCCTAAAATACAGAACGTGTTGACAATGTGGTAGTCATTCATAAATACCTAAATTTTGCACAAATTTGTGCACGAACTTGTGTGCGTGTTATATCGCGCGTAAAATAAATGAGTTGCGTATAAATCACGCACTTTTTGAGATAAGTTCAAATGAATGTAATTAAGTGATTTTAAATATTTATCATTTTTATAAAACATTATTTATGTCTAAAATCTAATTAAAAAAATGGATACACTTAGAAAAGCCAACCGGTATATATATTATGGAAATACGCATGTTGGCCTTTTTTTAGGGTCCAAAAAAGTTTAGGGCCATGAATAATGTTCCATAAATCAATATTTTCACTGACCAAAATGAGTAAAATAAAAGCACTATATCTGTTAATGAATGAAATTAATGAAATGTTTGTTAATCATTGCGTTGTATTGTTAATTATTTCAACTATTAGTAATGAAAAGTAATTAGTCAGTTATGTTATATTTACATTACCAAAATTTGAAACTCATTTAAATAATTTCTTTTAATTCAATGATGATGAAATGATTTAGGGTAATTTCTTTTTAGTGGTTGTCAACATTGCCCTAGTTCTGTCTGCTTACTGTCTGACTGTTTGTTGACTGTTGCTGTGTTGCAGCTGCAGACTGCACCAACTTTATTTTAAATTGTCCGTAAAAAAAGCACGGCAGAATGAGTTTCCAGAAAGAGGATAGTGATAGTAAAGGCAGCGATAGCACTTCATGGACCTCTTTAGGAATCGCTGGCGTAATCGGCGTGGGACTTGGCGCGGGACTCGCTTACCTTTTCAGTGGGTCCTCCGAGGCGCCGCACTGTAGCGCGGCGACAAACGCTACTGGCGCATCTAGTAGCAGCAATGATAACTAGTAAGTATGAACATTTTCTCTTCCTTTGCGCACAAATTTCAGCCTGCCACTAAATGGAAAAAAAAACAGCGTATAATCGCTTTTGTTTTTGTTCTTTTGTTTACACCACATCTACAAATAAATACTTGTAAGTACCCAGTACTTGAATCGTGGATAAAAATATCAATCGCCAATCAGTATTATAACACTGATCTTTCTTTAACCGACCATAATTAATGGATATTTTGAATTTTTTTTGTGAACGACCAATAATATTATACATATACAAATAGGATATTTATGTGATATTATTGTAAAATATTAAATTATTACATAATTAATAGTACTTAGAATTTATTGTATAATATACCTATATTAAAACATCATTGAGTATGAAATATTAAAATATTATATGATAAATAATTTTTAATATTAATGATTATTTTCTCTGCTAATGACGTAAAATAATCACATAGTTTAAAACTAATGTTTTCGTGTTTCTGATTCAATGCACTTTTGCAAGATGAATGTAGAAAGCACCATTCACAAAACTTGTTTGCAATATATGTATTATGTATAATTATTTGGCAGTTGACATACAGGCTAAAGAGACTATACAACACTACATAGCATAAAACAAAGTTGTATATCTTTAAAACTATGCAACGGATCTTGATGCTCTTTTTTCTACTAGATAGTGATTCAAGAGGTTATATTCTTATATATTAAAATGAATTGCTGTTCATTAGTCTCACTAAAACTCGAGAACGGCTGGACCGATTTGGCTAATTTTGGTTTTGAAATATTTGTGGCAGTCCAGGGAAAGTTTAAACAATGAGAAATTATATAAAAGTTGCATGGAAAATTGAAAAAGCAACAATTTTATATTCCAAACTAACTATTCCTACCTGTCAAACATTTTATGTGTGCATTCTGAAAATTCATTTTCTTTGTTTTTAGATTCACAAATTCCTTAGAAATAATTTATGTGGCAAAACAATGTTTGCAGGGTCAGCTAGTGTATAATTCCACCAGTGCGAAGCCATCGTAGGTCGCTAGTACAAATATACTCCATGTATGGATGTTTATGCTCATATTTAACAAACATAATTAACATGGGTGTAAAATTGGGGAAAGGGTCTTTATAGCTATTTTTAAATGAATATTGAGAGCTAATTAGGGTTGCCAACCATACTTTATAACAACATATTATACTTTATTTTAGGTAAAAATACTTTATACTTTTGGATAAAAATAAAGTATGTGAAAATACTTTATTTTCAATTTTTACTGTGATGCATAAAATAAAACACAAGTATGTATAATAGGGAAGATGCAAAATTTTAATATTTGGTTTTGATTGAATGGATTTCATGTAGAATAGACCACTAGTATATTGAGAAATTAAAATACTGTAATTGATTGTAAAAAAATGCGGTTTCAAATTGATTGTTTACATTAAATAAAAAAATAGAAAAAAGTAAATAAATAGCGAAGACGATTTCACTTTTTCTAGATTTTATAATGCTATATAAAATAGTGACTTATCTGATATCTGTTCCTTTCACATAGAAATCGTAAGATAATTTTTTATCAGACAAACAGAAAGGATAAAAATAGATGCTATTACCTCAGGAAACAAACGAGGTCATTGAATTTTATCCGAAATAATTTCATGAGTTCTGTAATGTATTGTTTACACTTTTTCAGAGTTTAAACAAGTTTTCTAAGCAATTGTTGATACAAATCAACTGACATGTCGTGACTGTTTTAGTAGACAGTTGTGTTTTTCTACATTTTTTTTATTATTTCGTGAAAAGAATAATTAGTAAAATATTAACTTTCTATAAGTTATTATTTTCATGTTGTAGAGGTGTAATATTGATGATTTCTAAGTGAAGAAAAAAGGACGACAAGCATTATTAATAAATTCTCTGTTAATTATAATTATAAAGTTAATTATAATTATAAATTCTGTTAATTATATTTTTACAATTGTTAAGTTCCGTCTTTTGAAAATTAGTTTAGATGTTACAAAATTCTTATTATTGATGAACAATTTTTCCCTAAGCATTGTTTCTCGCACAACTTTTTTAAGCCTAACCTTTTTTTTAACCTAATTTTTTATTTTTCAGATGAATCGTTACTCAATATTGAACAGTGTTTTAATATTATTGCTAAAAAGTAAAATTTCTTTCCAAATTATCCATCATGATATTTCTAAAGACACATTTTCGACAGGTCGCTAGAAACTGCGCTCGGGGCCCGGGGCGGACCGCCCCTTCCGCCCCCCGGTTAGTCCGCCCCTTCCGCCCCCCGGTTAGTCCGCACATTCCACCCCCCGGTTAGTCTGCCACTGGTAGGGCCACGCAACATTTTTTGATGTTGCATAAATAGGCAGGTCCGTCCGGCTATGTACCACTACATGACCTCAGAGACGACCGGCGTGAAGTGCAAGTGTTATAAAAGTCTGCGTTTCGTCTGGTGAGTGAGATAGCCCCGCCGGATAACACTACACCCACAGTTAGTGCAACAACAAACACTAGTTCGCAATCGCCTCCGAGCGCGGCGAGACCAACACAACGCGTACACAAGGTACACCCGCGTTCCGGGGCGGTTCTCACCGCTCCCAGCCACCGATTAGCTAGCTTCTGGCTAGCCCACCGGATCTGCGTTAGATGAAGCTTTAATAGTCTCGGGACTGAAAGCAAAAACATCAGTTAATACAAGACAAGAGTTAGATAGCCGGCGCCAACTTTATTAAAAGGTGGCAACGCATCTGCAACCCTGTGTGCAAATGTCCATGGGCACTTATCACTTTACATCGGTGAACAGCCAGCTTGCCTGCCACATTCTTACAATTTTTCTGATGTGAGGTGTTCGCCCTTACGGAAAGGGAACCTTCATAATCTCAAAAAAATAATAGGAAGACTGATTGAAAGGGATATCTGTATCTATTTTGTGACTGCAATATCTGCAACATCTGGGTAGAGAACAGGCTTTCCACAATTTCGGGGTCAATCAATCGGTTCTTTGACATAAGTTGAACAACTTGTCAGTAAAAAGTAAAAAAAAAAAGGGAAAAAGTTATGTTTTTCAGCGATACAGTATTATTTTTGTGTTCGACATAAAATCAGTTTGCATCAATGCCTAATGTAAGAAAAAGTACAAATCAGAATATTACAACAGCTCATTGTTTGATACGTTCAAATATCGTAAAATTATGTGGTAGGTAGGGATTGACAAATATTTCAAAAATAATTGATCCGCATGTTGAAAACTTTCTCTTTCTTTTTAAAACATTTCCTTACTGTAGGATAACTTTATGCCGTGTTGTAAGGACGTTTTTACAAACACAAACTTTCACGCGGACAAACACCCATATGCGAAACAACTATCTGTGGGTCACCCAAATATTTGACTCGTAAAATAAAACTAGTGTTATTATTAACAAATTATGCAATTAAAATGTGTTTCCACTTGTTCCAGCCTAAAGCGCAAGATGCCCTGTGAGATATGCTCTGTATGCCTAGAGGATATCCTCCTGGTGACGCTGCCGTGTGGCCACCGCTTCCACGACAAGTGCGTCAGGCGTTGGGTGCAAGACCGTCAGAATTGCCCAAACTGCAGAAGGCCGACAACGCTGGGCCAGCTGAAGTATTCTTAGACGTGCACAACGGATAACGCGTATCTCGTGCACCCACCCGCGCGGATTTCAGCTCGATCGATTCGGCCAGTTTCGCGTGACCACGACAACTTGCAATGTATTTCTATTCCTTCTCGAATTTTTGATCGTCGTGCTTTACGAAAGATTAAAAAAAACGTACTTTTTGTTGAGGTTATATTTTTATTATTTTTGTGACGCGTTTGAGAAAACATTTACAACACTAATTTGTAATTTTGTATTAAGCTTAAACACCGTTCACTGATCATTGTTTGTATATCTTGATTCTGAAATGTTTTATGTACAAAGTGATTATTATGTTTCTATGAGATCTCAAATCAGTAAAATTTATGGCATTGTTTGATTTTTGTAAATTATGTTCTGAAAAAGTTTAGAACGCACTTTTTTTTTTAAATTTCAAACCGAACCAGAGACAACCTGAAGAATTACGAAATTGACATTTGTTAAATCAATGAAGTGACAAATTTGAAAACAACGCCGTGCATCAATCTATTGAATAAAAACATAACGTCCGCAAACTTCTGCTGGGGGTCCCGCCAGATAACAATACACACAGCTCGTGCAACAGCAAACACCATAGTTCGTCCTTGGTTTCGAGCACGGCGAAACCAAGACATCACGTACACTAGTTACTCCTGTTGATTGGTAATCTCAGATTATACATACTCTTTTGATGTCAACTCTGACCTATTTCAAATGCAAATTCAAATATTTATTTGCCATAAATAGGGTTACAAAGATGTTTAAGTACATGTCTGTGGCTTTAACCTATTTAGCTGTTTAACAGCATGCAAATTTAGCTTTAGCAATTAAATTGCCATGCAGTCATTAAGTAAAAAAAAATAGTAATAGTATTTGACATCGTAGATCGTAAAAAAGAATAAACAATAAAATCAATATAAAAAAATAACAAATTTTTGTCCCAGTAGTTATAAATGTCATTATCGTACTCTACGGAGTCTAATATAAAAGTATATCAAATACTTTACATAACCATAAAACTAGTGTTATTATAACGATGTTCTGGTGTTAAAATGCAAATATCTAGATAAAATATATAAAATTTGTCAAAAGTTTTTAACAATAAAATATCACTACAATCACATCGCATAAAAAATTCAAAACATTGCAAATATTCAAATGAAAATAATTTGTTAATAAATAATAAATTGTTAATTAATTAAATACAATATCATAACAATCATATAACATTTTTCTGTTCTGTCATCAGTGACATGTCTCGTAGTTTTTTAAATTTATGTTTATTTCTTTTAATTCGTCAAAACATGCTTCCAATTATCATTACACACAAATGTAATTTACCACTCTTCTTTATTAAATAAATTCTTTGATATTATAAATGTTATTTTTCATTCAGCCATTCATGCAACTTTTTTTTAAACAATCTGCTACTTGCTATTTTTATTTCATTAGGTAGTTTATTAAATATTTTTACACACATTGCTATGCAACTATTGTTATATTTTTTTATCTTGGTATGTCGTCAAGAATAAGTCTGTTTGGGTCCCTTCGATTGCGTGGATAAACTTCGCAATTTTTTTTAAATAAGTACATATGTTTGTGCACAAACATACCGATTTCGAAGACATAAAGCGATGGCAGCGGTAGAATGCCATTTTTTTTAAACATTGTCTGCAGGACTCCTGAGGTGAAAGACCATATATTGCGCGAATACATTATTTTTGGGCAACAAAAGCTCTATTAAAATCTGTACTGTTACCCCATATTGTGAGCCCATAGCGTAATATGGATGCTACATAGGCGTGATAACAAATCATAGCTATTTTCATGTTTGTAACATTTCTAATTTGTTTAAGAGCGTATACAAATCTATTAATTTTATTACAAACTGTATCAACTTGCATTTTCCAATTCAAATCCTGGTCTAAAATAATTCCTAAAAATTTGGTTTCCGTCACTTGTTTAATTTTTGAAACGTTGAGTTTTATATTTATTGTCGATTTGCTATTTTTATTAAAGTGTATGAATTTCGTTTTATCCAGATTTATTTTTAAATTATTCGTATGTAACCATTCCATCAATTGTATTATTTATGTCATTTTCGTGATCTGTAATTATATTATTTTCTTTACTTGAGATCATTATGATTGAAATATCGTCAGCAAAAAGAACAAATTTGTGATTAATTATGCCTGTGATGTCATTAAGATATAGAATAAACAGAATTGGGCCTACTATACTACCTTGTGGGACTCCATACTTAGTATGCTTATAACTGGAGGTGTAGTTAGTTAACTCATTGTTTTCATTAATCCTTGTAACGCTTACACATTGTTGTCTGTTACAAAGATACGATGATAACCAGTCGAGTGTGGGTCCTCTGATCTCCAACATTTCTAATTTTTGTAATAGCCTATCATGAGGTACGTGGTCAAAAGCTTTTGATAGGTCTATGAATAAGCCTGAAGTCCAATTTTTCTTATTAATGTTGTTCATTATCGTTTTTAAAAGAGAAAAAATAGCCAACGATGTAGACTTGTACTTTTGGAAGCCATACTGTTCCTTTTTAATAATTTGAAATTTGTTACAATATTGTAAGCCTTTCGTACATACATTTTTCAAATATTTTTGACAATATAGGTATTAAGGTGATAGGACGATAGTTACTGACTTCTTTTTCACCTTTTTAAACGGTTTTATTTAGCTCGACCCGTACGGAATTTGTTTGTTTGGGTCAAAATTAGAAATTGAAATTTAAGCACCTTGCCGTTGTCAGATTGATCTGAAATTTGGTACACACATTTAATTTAGATGACAATACAATCTTCTGGCTAGCCCACCGGATCTGCGTTAGATGAAGCTTTAATAGTCTCGGGACTGAAAGCAAAAACATCAGTTAATACAAGACAAGAGTTAGATAGCCGGCGCCAACTTTATTAAAAGGTGGCAACGCATCTGCAACCCTGTGTGCAAATGTCCATGGGCACTTATCACTTTACATCGGTGAACAGCCAGCTTGCCTGCCACATTCTTACAATTTTTCTGATGTGAGGTGTTCGCCCTTACGGAAAGGGAACCTTCATAATCTCAAAAAAATAATAGGAAGACTGATTGAAAGGGATATCTGTATCTATTTTGTGACTGCAATATCTGCAACATCTGGGTAGAGCAGGCTTTCCACAATTTCGGGGTCAATCAATCGGTTCTTTGACATAAGTTGAACAACTTGTCAGTAAAAAGTAAAAAAAAAAAGGGAAAAAGTTATGTTTTTCAGCGATACAGTATTATTTTTGTGTTCGACATAAAATCAGTTTGCATCAATGCCTAATGTAAGAAAAAGTACAAATCAGAATATTACAACAGCTCATTGTTTGATACGTTCAAATATCGTAAAATTATGTGGTAGGTAGGGATTGACAAATATTTCAAAAATAATTGATCCGCATGTTGAAACTTTCTCTTTCTTTTTAAAACATTTCCTTACTGTAGGATAACTTTATGCCGTGTTGTAAGGACGTTTTTACAAACACAAACTTTCACGCGGACAAACACCCATATGCGAAACAACTATCTGTGGGTCACCCAAATATTTGACTCGTAAAATAAAACTAGTGTTATTATTAACAAATTATGCAATTAAAATGTGTTTCCACTTGTTCCAGCCTAAAGCGCAAGATGCCCTGTGAGATATGCTCTGTATGCCTAGAGGATATCCTCCTGGTGACGCTGCCGTGTGGCCACCGCTTCCACGACAAGTGCGTCAGGCGTTGGGTGCAAGACCGTCAGAATTGCCCAAACTGCAGAAGGCCGACAACGCTGGGCCAGCTGAAGTATTCTTAGACGTGCACAACGGATAACGCGTATCTCGTGCACCCACCCGCGCGGATTTCAGCTCGATCGATTCGGCCAGTTTCGCGTGACCACGACAACTTGCAATGTATTTCTATTCCTTCTCGAATTTTAATCGTCGTGCTTTACGAAAGATTAAAAAAAACGTACTTTTTGTTGAGGTTATATTTTTATTATTTTTGTGACGCGTTTGAGAAAACATTTACAACACTAATTTGTAATTTTGTATTAAGCTTAAACACCGTTCACTGATCATTGTTTGTATATCTTGATTCTGAAATGTTTTATGTACAAAGTGATTATTATGTTTCTATGAGATCTCAAATCAGTAAAATTTATGGCATTGTTTGATTTTTGTAAATTATGTTCTGAAAAAGTTTAGAACGCACTTTTTTTTTTTAAATTTCAAACCGAACCAGAGACAACCTGAAGAATTACGAAATTGACATTTGTTAAATCAATGAAGTGACAAATTTGAAAACAACGCCGTGCATCAATCTATTGAATAAAAACATAACGTCCGCAAACTTCTGCTGGGGGTCCCGCCAGATAACAATACACACAGCTCGTGCAACAGCAAACACCATAGTTCGTCCTTGGTTTCGAGCACGGCGAAACCAAGACATCACGTACACTAGTTACTCCTGTTGATTGGTAATCTCAGATTATACATACTCTTTTGATGTCAACTCTGACCTATTTCAAATGCAAATTCAAATATTTATTTGCCATAAATAGGGTTACAAAGATGTTTAAGTACATGTCTGTGGCTTTAACCTATTTAGCTGTTTAACAGCATGCAAATTTAGCTTTAGCAATTAAATTGCCATGCAGTCATTAAGTAAAAAAAAAATAGTAATAGTATTTGACATCGTAGATCGTAAAAAAGAATAAACAATAAAATCAATATAAAAAAAATAACAAATTTTTGTCCCAGTAGTTATAAATGTCATTATCGTACTCTACGGAGTCTAATATAAAAGTATATCAAATACTTTACATAACCATAAAACTAGTGTTATTATAACGATGTTCTGGTGTTAAAATGCAAATATCTAGATAAAATATATAAAATTTGTCAAAAGTTTTTAACAATAAAATATCACTACAATCACATCGCATAAAAAATTCAAAACATTGCAAATATTCAAATGAAAATAATTTGTTAATAAATAATAAATTGTTAATTAATTAAATACAATATCATAACAATCATATAACATTTTTCTGTTCTGTCATCAGTGACATGTCTCGTAGTTTTTTAAATTTATGTTTATTTCTTTTAATTCGTCAAAACATGCTTCCAATTATCATTACAACAAATGTAATTTACCACTCTTCTTTATTAAATAAATTCTTTGATATTATAAATGTTATTTTCATTCAGCCATTCATGCAACTTTTTTTTAAACAATCTGCTACTTGCTATTTTTATTTCATTAGGTAGTTTATTAAATATTTTTACACACATTGCTATGCAACTATTGTTATATTTTTTTATCTTGGTATGTCGTCAAGAATAAGTCTGTTTGGGTCCCTTCGATTGCGTGGATAAACTTCGCAATTTTTTTTAAATAAGTACATATGTTTGTGCACAAACATACCGATTTCGAAGACATAAAGCGATGGCAGCGGTAGAATGCCATTTTTTTTAAACATTGTCTGCAGGACTCCTGAGGTGAAAGACCATATATTGCGCGAATACATTATTTTTGGGCAACAAAAGCTCTATTAAAATCTGTACTGTTACCCCATATTGTGAGCCCATAGCGTAATATGGATGCTACATAGGCGTGATAACAAATCATAGCTATTTTCATGTTTGTAACATTTCTAATTTGTTTAAGAGCGTATACAAATCTATTAATTTTATTACAAACTGTATCAACTTGCATTTTCCAATTCAAATCCTGGTCTAAAATAATTCCTAAAAATTTGGTTTCCGTCACTTGTTTAATTTTTGAAACGTTGAGTTTTATATTTATTGTCGATTTGCTATTTTTATTAAAGTGTATGAATTTCGTTTTATCCAGATTTATTTTTAAATTATTCGTATGTAACCATTCCATCAATTGTATTATTTATGTCATTTTCGTGATCTGTAATTATATTATTTTCTTTACTTGAGATCATTATGATTGAAATATCGTCAGCAAAAAGAACAAATTTGTGATTATTATGCCTGTGATGTCATTAAGATATAGAATAAACAGAATTGGGCCTACTATACTACCTTGTGGGACTCCATACTTAGTATGCTTATAACTGGAGGTGTAGTTAGTTAACTCATTGTTTTCATTAATCCTTGTAACGCTTACACATTGTTGTCTGTTACAAAGATACGATGATAACCAGTCGAGTGTGGGTCCTCTGATCTCCAACATTTCTAATTTTTGTAATAGCCTATCATGAGGTACGTGGTCAAAAGCTTTTGATAGGTCTATGAATAAGCCTGAAGTCCAATTTTTCTTATTAATGTTGTTCATTATCGTTTTTAAAAGAGAAAAAATAGCCAACGATGTAGACTTGTACTTTTGGAAGCCATACTGTTCCTTTTTAATAATTTGAAATTTGTTACAATATTGTAAGCCTTTCGTACATACATTTTTCAAATATTTTTGACAATATAGGTATTAAGGTGATAGGACGATAGTTACTGACTTCTTTTTCACCTTTTTAAACGGTTTTATTTAGCTCGACCCGTACGGAATTTGTTTGTTTGGGTCAAAATTAGAAATTGAAATTTAAGCACCTTGCCGTTGTCAGATTGATCTGAAATTTGGTACACACATTTAATTTAGATGACAATACAATATTAACAAAAAAAAATTTAACAAAAAAAAAAACAAAATAAAACCGTTTAACTTAAGTTTTTAAACGGTTTTATTTAAAAATCGGCTTTATCACCGACATTTTTAACATTTCTGGGAATGTACCCGAAGAAAAAGATATATATTTGATTTATGTATTATATATGAATTACTTTAAATTTGGAATGTTAATTTTATTTCTTCATACTGAGTTGTCATATTTGATGGGATTCCGTTAAAATCGTTTGGAGAAGTAACATGTATAGCTATCAGACATAACTCTTGTATTTTATATAAATTTCACAATGTTTCGTCAAAAAAATGTTTAAGTTGAAATAAATAGTTTTCTTATCACGCCTTAAGTGTATTTTGGGTTGAAAGTGATCCCATTAGCCACATCTACCGTTCAAGAACAGCCGCGTTCGTTCCAGGGCGTTTCCTAACCGAGCCTCGATGGCCCGTAGACGACACTCCTTTGCTAACGCCCGCATGAGCACAGGCAGCGCAGAGCGCGACCCTACTCACTGTGGAGGGACTCATACCCGTGGGTTCTGGCTAGCCCACCGGTTCTGCGTTCGATTAAGCTTTAATAGTCTCGAGACTGAAAGAATTAACATCAGTTAATACAAGGATATTAATGTCTTTTGTGGCAACATTATAAACTGTTATATGTTGACAAATTGTTCCGCTTTACGTTATATGACATACTAGCTGCTGCCCGCGACTAAGTCTAACACGGAATAACATTAAGACGGAAAGACGGATGTACATAAAATATGTATATAAATTATAGCCTACGTCTTATTTTGATGTATAATCTATATTATTGTAGTTTCATTAAAATCCATTTTGTTTGAGATTGTTTATAGGGTCTAACTTCGCACATATAGAATCAGTTGCATTAAGCCACATAGAATTTACATATATTGTTCTTAATTTTTTTTGTAGTAGAGAAGTTCAACTCGGCGGTATTAAGCTGGTGTCAAATTTAATTTTGTTTAAAAAATTGTTCGCTGTCTGCTTTTGAGCCGTGATTCTTCATAAAAATACGAATTATCGCATCATTATCTGACTGCCATATTTATCACTGCTTTAAGCCATACATTTGTGGTGTAAACTCTTGAACAGCATTCATTTTTTCATCGATGAAAATATCAGCTGGATCATTTAATGACGCAAAAATTGATTGAGAAAATATTTTAAATGGTCTAAACTTTCTTCATATAGAATGCCGCAGTGTAGTCACAACCTGTGTATGCAGGATAAGCAGGTAAAAGTCTACCACATATTTTGGGTCCTAACTTTAATGCCAAATGGATGCAGTTAATGCAATCAAGGTGGTTCGATTGCTTCTTAGTCGCTGAAGTAGCTAGAAAAATTGCAGACTGACAGTTTGTGCACATTTCCGAGTAAAATTATGAGAACATCAGTATTAGAAGCTTTTATTAGAATTCTGGAGCGTTGAAATTTAAATCTTTAAAATTTGGAAACCTTTATTAGGACCGAATTCTTCGCAGACAACCCTATATAAACGTATATGTTGATATATATTTTTTTCTATTAACCAATCAGTGAAAGTAACTGATACCGACATACCTGTTTACACCTGGCAACCCAGTAGTTCGTCCAGGTAATTAATACACAACCCAACGGCTGCACATTCTATGTTTTATATTGCAACTCAGGATAATTATTTTCATCTTGATGTTGCAACATTTCATGAAAAATCATTTTTTAAAAAAATATTAAAATATTTTGTCCAGGATTTTTTTAGGCAACCCAGTTTTAATATATTTTCTAATATACTAAATTATAAAATAAATTTTATTCTATTATCAGTTCGGTGAAGGTCGATTTAGGTTCGGATCTCAGACTATAAGGAAAAGATGTAAGTGAATGTGGCTGATGATGTAGAACGTATGATACGGGAGATGGCAGTCGATAGAATTACACCAATTGGTGTAGTGTGTCATCTATTGCATATATCATTGGTAGCTTATATTAATTAGACAACTCAATATAAATCATTAAGGTACGGGACAAACAGCGGAGACAAGGGAAAAAAAGTACTTGATATCAAAACAATATTATTTAAAATTTGTAAAAAAGTAGACGAAATGTTTTTCATCTGGTGCATTTTCGTTGCAGCAAACGACCACTTTTTCATGAGATATTACCATGAAATATAAGAGAACTAGATGTCACATTTGCTATTAATCTAAAACATTGCCCTTACTTTAGGACAACATTATCCTATAATATAAACTCTCAGATGCGAAACATTGTCCCGTGTGGGAATCGATCCCCCGACGCCGGAGCCAATACCTTGGAGTCATTTTTGGAAGTGAATATTTCTTTTAGCGCGGTACGCATGTTTTTAGATGAGATAAAATTTCTCAACTCGCGACACCGTTACGAGACGCAGTTACTCGTATAGTGTGTGCTTAATTAAATTTTTAAATAGAGAATCTGATTTTACTGTCCAATCAGCGCAATATTAGCACAAAGAGATATGAAAGTACAATTGATGCGGTATTCACGAGATATTTAAATTACTTCCAATCTAAATCTGTTTAAAAAAAAAAAGTTTTTTTTTTTTTTTTCAAAATTGTTTTTTTATTATTATTTTATTTATCTAAAAAATGTAGTGCGTCAAAATAAGTATTCACTTCTGTCGGCACGCCCGGAGTGCAATCTTTTTATTTAGATAGTTATACCAAATTTGCCTGCGATTAGTAAGGTCCGCACTATGGAGTGCCCGAGTGTAGGGGGTACTATCCTGATGTATACGAAGTGTCCAGTAAATACGTAAACTAAGATGTCACTGCACTAAGTTTTAAATTACCCCTAGAAGACAATCGCAGTGCGTCGAAACAAAGTCTGTCTTGAAATAAAACCATTTTATTTTTTGAAGGTCGAAGCCAGCCAAATTCGCCAGGTACAAATTGAAAAGAAAAGAAACATAACATCCCTTGGATAGCATTTTAAACTTAAATTGTATTTGTTACACTTACAAACCCCCATTTAAGCGGCGACGGTTGGCGGCAAACAGTTATTCAGTAACGTCAGTGACAGACTTCTTATCTGCTTTGCTTCGGTGACAGTAGCCTTGTTAGAGTTATTTACATTACGCTCGCTTCGACAGTTTGCTTCTATCAGAATCATTGGAAGTGAACAGTGGCTAGTTTTAACCGTTAACGATAACTAGTTTCTTCGTCTCTCACAAAAACTCACTCTTGTCGTTTATAAAAGGTTTATATATTCCACTACATTATTTTAATAACCAATTTCTTACTAAGTTCATCTTGCACAAGTTTCGTTTCGTGACGGTAATATTGTTAACGGTGACGTTACGTAACTGTAACTTTTTGTAACGGTAGCGTTATTCGTAACGCTTCTTTCGTTGCGTCAACCGTTATCGAGTTATCGGGGTGTTGTCTGCCCACGTTAGCGTCATTGTTAACGTGTAGAGCGATAATATTGTCTTCTTTGTATATTTATCGTATTCTTCTCCGCCGTTTACAGTAAGCTTGGGTCGTGCTCGATTCGAACGTGTCTGTTCCACGCGTCGATGTTCTGAAACAGCTGAAACGATACGGTTAACGTGTTGTTAACGTTAGGTACCGGTTCGGTTGAGCCGTGATAGCTCAGTATCCGGGCGCTTGCCTTTAATCTGATATACTCGGGCAACACGAGTTCGATCCCCGGTGCCGGCACCAATGAAATTGGTAATTTTAAGTGTCGACTTATCACATGCGCAGCGGTGAAGGAAAACATCGTGAGGAAACCTGCATATTTACTAAATAATAATAAAGAAATATTACGAAGATATGTGAAGCCCGCCGAACCATAGTGGGGCCGCGTGGTGGACGATCCCCTGATTCCCGATGAACATAGGAGGCCTTTGCCCAGCAGTGGGATATGTTTAGGCTGTTACTTGGGGCCAACCTAAAACCGAGGCTCCTAACTACTGAAACGTTCTACTCACGTCGTCGCAGCTCTCGCACGGGTACAGCTTGAGGCCGGGCGAGGCCACGTGGCACTTGAACTTTTCAGCCGCTAGCGCCAGGGACACCTACCTTCATCTTCTGTCTATGGACCCACCTAAAACCGAGGCTCCTAACTATTGAAACGTTCTACTCACGTCGTCGCAGCTCTCGCACGGGTACAGCTTGAGGCCGGGCGAGGCCACGTGGCACTTGAACTTTTCAGCCGCTAGCGCCAGGGACACCTACCTTCATCTTCTGTCTATGGACCCACCTAAAACCGAGGCTCCTAACTATTGAAACGTTCTACTCACGTCGTCGCAGCTCTCGCACGGGTACAGCTTGAGGCCGGGCGAGGCCACGTGGCACTTGAACTTTTCAGCCGCTAGCGCCAGGGACACCTACCTTCATCTTCTGTCTATGGACCCACCTAAAACCGAGGCTCCTAACTATTGAAACGTTCTACTCACGTCGTCGCAGCTCTCGCACGGGTACAGCTTGAGGCCGGGCGAGGCCACGTGGCACTTGAACTTTTCAGCCGCTAGCGCCAGGGACAACCTACCTTCATCTTCTGTCTATGGACCCACCTAAAACCGAGGCTCCTAACTATTGAAACGTTCTACTCACGTCGTCGCAGCTCTCGCACGGGTACAGCTTGAGGCCGGGCGAGGCCACGTGGCACTTGAACTTTTCAGCCGCTAGCGCCAGGGACACCTACCTTCATCTTCTGTCTATGGACCCACCTAAAACCGAGGCTCCTAACTATTGAAACGTTCTACTCACGTCGTCGCAGCTCTCGCACGGGTACAGCTTGAGGCCGGGCGAGGCCACGTGGCACTTGAACTTTTCAGCCGCTAGCGCCAGGGACAACTACCTTCATCTTCTGTCTATGGACCCACCTAAAACCGAGGCTCCTAACTATTGAAACGTTCTACTCACGTCGTCGCAGCTCTCGCACGGGTACAGCTTGAGGCCGGGCGAGGCCACGTGGCACTTGAACTTTTCAGCCGCTAGCGCCAGGGACACCTACCTTCATCTTCTGTCTATGGACCCACCTAAAACCGAGGCTCCTAACTATTGAAACGTTCTACTCACGTCGTCGCAGCTCTCGCACGGGTACAGCTTGAGGCCGTGCGAGGCCACGTGGCACTTGAACTTTTGAGCCCCTAACGCCAGGGACACCTACCTTCATCTTCTGTCTATGGACCCACCTAAAACCGAGGCTCCTAACTATTGAAACGTTCTACTCACGTCGTCGCAGCTCTCGCACGGGTACAGCTTGAGGCCGTGCGAGGCCACGTGGCACTTGAACTTTTCAGCCCCTAACGCCAGGGACACCTACCTTCATCTTCTGTCTATGGACCCACCTAAAACCGAGGCTCCTAACTATTGAAACGTTCTACTCACGTCGTCGCAGCTTTCGCACGGGTACAGCTTGAGGCCGTGCGAGGCCACGTGGCACTTGAACTTCTCCGCGCTCGCGTACCCCGCCCCGCACGCGTCGCAAACCAACTGCGGGGGCCCCTCCGCCTCGGCCGCCTCGCACTTCGCCCTCTTGGGCTCCCGCGGCTCGTAATAGGGGCAGGCTGAAACGCGAACGCTCTCCTCCGACCTCTGTGCTATCTACGCGGCTGGAGTCCACTCCAATCGTGTCTACGGCTAACGAGTTTCCTTCGAGGACTTCTGTCGCTACAAAAGGTGCCAAACTTCGATCGGAACAATCGGTTGCATTATAACTTCCGTCACAGCTTGGGGAAGTGATCCCAGCAAACCGTTATATTTACTGTGCTTTTATAATAAAGTACCAGAGCCGTTGCCGGTTGAACAGTTTGCCCGATGGCAATTATCAGTGTAATGGCATCCGAAATACAGGTAAGGTCGATACCTTTAAGGCGTATATTTGATTATATATTTCATACTGTATTGGCGTTGTTATATTCATTTAAGTCTTTACCACAGAATATTACTTAGAGTGTAACTTGTGGTGTAACCATACGCTTCGCTTTAGACTTAAAATCGGAATCAACAGGGAATAGAAAATTCAAAAGTTTGAACACTCACTTCCGTGGCCGACGTGAGTCTTGTAGAATGTCACCACCACCCTGTCCAGGGTCTCCGTGACGATCATGTGGGCGGGGCAGGCCTTCCCCGTTTTGTAGATCTGCCTCTCGGGCGCCGGCCTCTTGCCTTTGCCCTGGCATAGACACGCCAAATTGTCACACAGTTGCTATAGCGGTATTGTAAAAGAGACTAGCGACCCGCCCCGGCTTCGCACGGGTGCAATGTATTATACAGCGTGTCGTTACCATCGCGACAATAAATGAACACACGTCTAACGCTACTTGCTGACAAAATATGGCTACATCGATATATTTTTCTATTGGGCCCCGGAATCTACGGATTCTGAGCCGGATCCGATTTTGAAAAAATATCGTTTTTGATACGATTACAATATTGAATATTTTATATCGATATATCGGCTAAAAATATCGATGTATTTAATAAAAAATCGATATATTTACGACATCCCTACTAGCTAGCCAGAGAGTTCCAAAAACGTAGCACGCCACGCAGCAGCGTCGTCTGTTGCGCGAATGGGCAGCCTCGTCCGGGTAAGTACCACGACCACAGAATACATGGAAGTATAATACTTTCGCGTTTCATCTGGTGAGTGAGGTGGCCGGAGCCCGATTTTCTAAAGGTTGTCGACGCATCTGCAACCCTCGGGTGTGGCAGATGTCCGTGGGTAGCGATATTCAGTTAACATCAGGTGAACCGCCTGGTCGCTTGGCAACTTTTCACATAAAAAAAGCGACCCCAACAACCTGGTACACGTAAATTCCCGACTGGCTGCACATGTAATGCGAACGCACGCCCTCGATGGTCTGCTTGCTGGCGGTGGTCTTCCGGAAGCGGAACTTCGTCTCCTCCTGTATCGCGCTCTTGAACAGCATGAAGTCTGCCAATCAAGGAGGCCAGTGGAGAGGTGTTTTAGCTCGTGGGGCCCTTACCTCGCGTGTAAAGGTCTATCGCAATTGGTCAGATAATATCATAGGCCGGAGCAGCGGACCTAGTGGTCATCTCACCAATTCCCACTGTGGCACGGAGTGGGTTCGATCCCCGCAGCGGTTAAAAATTTACACTACCCGCTAATAGTTTATCAGAGACTGCATGCAATTTTTTCCTCCACATTTTATTAAATTCAAAGCCCTAGTGACACTAGTTTTATTTCTTAGTGCGGGAGTAATTTTTTTTAACGCAAAAAACGACCAAGTGCGAGTCGGCCTCGCGCACGAAGGGTTCCGTACCATTATCTATAATGTATTGAAACACTTTGTTAAACAATTCGGTTTGCTGTAGCATAGTGTAAACCGCAACCTGTGTTTATGACGTAGTTACATTACGTCAGAAAGCGGCTGTCTTACGTCATATTCAAGTGCCCCCGACGCGCGGGATGGGTCAAGATAAACAATAACGTCGTACCCTCCACGACAAGATAAACTCATGCCTAACCAAGCAGCATAAGGTTCAAACTTATAGTAAATTATCAACGTAGATAAATTATCAAAAACTTTCGGCGCTGAGGGAGGGGTATTCCGAGTAAAGCGTCTAGACGCTTTACCAAAACTTAGCTTAGCGGCCGACGTCGATACATGCTCTTTGAAGTGTTTCATACTGTAAATTATTCACGCTGGATGGTGCTAAGCATTGCTAAAGATGCAATAAAAAACGTCACGCCAGATGGTGCTAAGCTAAAGATGCAATAAAGAACGTATATAGACGTAGGAGTTTTCGCGCTGTGAAGTCATCGGCCGCTTTTACATACGCATTTACCCACAGAAAATCACATTTTGAGTGTCATTTTGAGTGGAAAAATCTATAAATGTGTTAGGGCCACTAAGTGTTCACTGATCCACGACGGGGCAGGTCCATCCGCGTAAGAACCACGACCTCGCAGAAGACCGGCGCAACGTAGAAGTGTTACATTTCTGCGTTTCGTCTGGTGAGTGAGTAAACGGGGGCCTACTTTGTTGAAAGGTGGCCTTTATCAATCAACCCTACGGGTGTCGCAAATGTCAATGGGCGGCGATTGTCACTTAACATCGGGTGAACCGCCAGCTCGTTTGCCACTTTCTCACCCAATCCTTACTTCCTTACTAATATTATAAATGCGAAAGTTTGTATGATGGATGTTTGTTACCCTTTCACGCAAAAACTACTGAAGAGATTTTAATGAAACTTTCCAATAATATAGCTTGTACATCGGAATAACACATAGGCTATAATTTGTAAAGATATTGTGTGAATTGTCCAAAATATAGGTAATAATAATAAGTGTCAACTGAGTAGGGAAAAATTCAACCATCTGCCGGATATTCCGATATATAATAAAAACCACACATTGACAGTTCGCCGCGCGGGCGAAGCCGCGGTTAACAGCTAGTCCTTACTTATATCATAAAGGCGAAAGTTTGCATGCATGGATGGAGGTTTGTTACTCTTTCACGCAAATACTACTGAATGGATTTTAACGAAACTTATACATCAGAAAAAGGCATAGGCTATAATTTATACAGCGTGTCGTTACCATCGCGACAATAAATGAAGACACATATAGGGGATAACTTTTTAAAGTTGTATTAAACATTTAAATTCTTTAAACATCAATATTTACAGAGTTATTAAATTTTCCAAAACAAAGCATTTTAGAACACCCTTACCTATAAAAGCGTAACGTAAAGTTCATTTGTAAAGGTCACAAAGCATATGGGTTGAATGAATTTAAAAGAGACAAAACATACTGTTAGAAGGAGAGGCTTGTAATACGACGCTGTGACGCGAGTTGTATAGGATGTTACAAATTTTGTTTCTTTTTCACTTAATTAGTTTGTTTGAAAAATATTTTTTTTTAATTATGGATTTTGTTTAACGTTAATATTTTTTTTATGATTATTGGCAAGTAGCGTTAGACGTGTCTTCTTTTATTGTCGCGATGGTATCGACACGCTGTATACACATTTTACGTCTTTCCGTCTGAATGTCACGCCTCCAGCCTATTCCAGTGTAGTCGCGGGCAGCGGTTAGTGACGAACGAAACCCGAAGAACCGCGAGGTGCACTCACCGTCCATGCTGCTGAACTCGAGCTGCTCCACTTGCTCGCGCACCTGGTGATGGTGCAAGAGGTGGGCGCTGAAGTTGGTGCCGTAGCTGACGCGCTCGTTGCACAGCGGGCAGAAGAACGCCTTGCGCTTCTCGACCTTGCCAATGGTTTACTTACGTCACGCGCGTGTGTTGTGCGCGTGTGTGAAAAGAAACTAAGTATCAGCCAATATAGGATGTCTTTTCTAAAGGTGCCCAATTTCACACAGGAGGTTCAGACTCGGTAGTATAATCGTTTATTGAAATGAAAACAAACTTTTTTTTTTTCAAAAAAAAATTGCCATTCTGTTACCTAAAAAACAGAACTTGTTGACAACGCGGTAGTCATTCATAAATGCGTCGCATACTTTTGAAACGAACTTGTGTGTGTGTGTTAGTTATGAATGATCGCGCGTAAAATAAATGAGTTGCCCATAAATCACGCATTTTCTGAGATAAGTTAAAATGAATGTAATTAATTAATTACGTGTGATTTTAAATATTTATAATTTTTTATATAAAACTATTTATTTTTAGAATTTAATTGAAAAAAATGGATACATTTAGAAAAGCCTCCCTTTATATGTCCCACGGCTCGGCAAAGGCCTCCTCTGTACAGAGGGTGTCGGGGAATAGTCCACCACGCGGCCCCACTGCGGATTGGCGGACTTCACATATTTTCGAAATATTTGTTTTTGTTATTTCGAAAATATGCAGGTTTCCTCGCGATATTTTCCTTCACCGCTGAAACGCATGTGTGGGTGTGACTATTCAAATGCTAAAGAAAGCTTAAGCAGCCTATAGCAGCTCACACGAACGGGCGAGTTCTGCCCTCAACCAGTAACAGAAAGTAATCATTCACATGGAGTTTCCAATGAAATGACTACTTCTGCAACCTAAATATTTTGTGACATTTGGTTGCATCGTCGAGGACTTAAGCCATCGAAGATGCTCTATCATCGAACTGTTGAATTTACAATAGCGTACACCTCAACCCCTTTTCAGTGGTCATTGTATCCTCTGGCGATAAGGCCGCCAATTGTACCTTTAGGCGACGTACCTTTGTTTTTTTTATGTGAACAGTTGCCAAACGAGCAGACGGTTCACCTGATGTTAAGTGAATACCGCCGCCCATAGACATCTGCTACACCCGAGGGTTTGCAGATGCGTTGACAACCTTTTTGGAAATTGGGCTCCGGCTACCTCACTCACCAGACGAAACGCGAAAGTATTTGTCATACTTCCAGTTTAAGCCGGTCTTGTTAGGTCGTGGTTCTTACCCGGACCAGCCTGCCCATTCGTGCAACAGCCGAGGCTGCTGCGTGGCTCTACCTTGATGTAATATTTTGTTACTTTTGTAATTTTGTCTGGTGTACCATGAAGCCGCAAACAGCTCGCCTTTGTATAAGGGAACATCCAAAAGCGATTCTAACGGTGAGTGATAATGGCCACCACCATACAGGCGGGTTACCTAACCAGTCGAATGGCAAAAGTACAAACGCTTTGACATTATGACCGTTTTGCTGCATTCAAACGGCAGGAGAAGCCAAAGGCATGCAAAAGTGATAATAAGCCAAATCCAGTTTCCGACTTCAAAGGTCGAAAGAAGGGAAGGACACAGATGTGTAAGGGTACATGTACACACACGTGTTAGGACCACTCAGCATTCTTTGATGTTGCACGAATGGGCATGCTCGTCCGAGAAGGTCCCGCGACATCACAGAACATCGGCGTGAATTGGCAAGAGTTATACTTCTGCGTTTCGTCTGGCGAGTGAGGTAGCCTGGGCCAATTTATTACGGCCATCGGAGTCACGGTCCGCACCGTACCTCGATGGCCCGTAGGCGACATGCCATAATTAACGCACGCATGAGTACTAGCGCGGCACTACCCACTGAGGAGGGCCTCAAATCCGGCCTCAAATCAAATCTGGCTAGCCCACCGGTTCTGCGTCCGATGAAGCTTTTGATAGTCTAAGGACTGAAAGCGTAACATCAGTTATACAAATACAAATAAAAGGTGGCAATGCATCTGAAACCCTACGGACGTTGCTGATGTCCACTTGAAAAACGCACCCTTCTCTTCTTCTCAAGTCCTGTTCAAATTGAGTAATTTTTTGCATCAACCCCGAGACCCACGTTATTTTGACAAAATGCAAAAATTCACATCTCCCATTCGTCTTTTCTTTCCTCCATCTTCTCATTCTCAATTCTTCTTACCTCATAGCCATGAGCCTTCCACAGGTGGTTGTTCAGTATCTGCTTCTGGCTGAAGTCGCGCTTACAAATGTGACACTTCTTGCGGTCGCTCGACGAGTACTTGGGAGTGTGGTCATTGCATAGTTTCACTGTGGTTAATACAATAATTGACACAAAATACTAGTGTATTTGTACTTTGCATTATGTGTGTGGAAGAACTGGAAGGCGTTGGTTACTAAGGCCCAACGATCACAGCGACCTAGACGATCTATAGCAGCCTTCCCTTCGAAAATATTGCCCCTTATATATAACATTACCCTGTGATGTAAGGACATTTTACAAACATAAATTTAATCGTCGACAAACACCCAGATCCGAAACAATTGTCTGTTGGTCACACAAATAGTAGTCTCGTGTGGAAACAGGAATCCACGACCCTCGGCGCCGAAGCCAATACCTTGGCAATTGCGCCACGAAGTCATCAAACTTCTACGTTACCCAGGCACACTGCTGGTCCCGAGTAAGCATCATTAAGTCCTCGATCTGGGGCTAGTCCCATCTGGGCAAAACCTAGCACCTACCACCGTAGACAAGTTTAGAATGCTTCGCTGTATTCTTCCACAGAATCCAGATTTTGCGACCCGATTGGCCTAGTGGGTAGTGGACCTACCTCTTTCGCCAGACAATACAAATTCATCATACGATCATAAAGGAGTGTCCGTTTTTCGGATTTCCCTGTCCTTAAAACTCTCTACAGGAAGTGGAGACACCCTGCTACTCTCTCTCTCTGTTTCACTTTAATTTAAGAGCTAGGCTCTTTTCGGTGCAGCATTCCATTAATTCAGCTGTGTAACACCCTCCATCGTTCAAAGCCTTTACCTCTCTACTCTTACTCCATTACCCTGCTACTAATTGCCTTTAATCAGAAGAGGAAAGTAATTGATAAGGTAAACCGAACAATGTCCTGACCTACCAGACTACCTCGTTGGTAATATCCCTGGAGTGAGGGCCCAAGATTATAATACTTAAAGGAACACAATCGTTCTCACAAAACGCAACGAAAACCAAAACTCACAGCCGTGCTTCATCCTCAAATGGGTGAAGCAAGCCTTCTTGCTGTTGTACACGTTGTCGCAGAAGTGGCATGCGTACTGCCTACCCTCAGTCTCCGAATTGGCGTTGTGGCATCTACAAAGTGAATGTTGTGGATCATTTCAAAGCGGGAGATCTTCTAAAACCTATCCCATCTTCTCCGCGCCAAGGTCGGCGTCTTAGCCAAACAGAGGGAAGCCGCCAATTATACGTAGAATTTTTTTATGTGAGTAGATGGCGAGCGAGTTGGCGGTAGACCTGATGTTACGTGGTAATCGCCGCCCTTTGACATTCGCTACACCCGTAGGGTTGCAGATGCGCACAAGTATAAAACCTCCACTTGACGCCGGTCTTCTGTGAGGTCGTGATACTTCCCCGGACGGACCTGCCCGTTCGTGCAACAGCGAACCCTGCCACAGTTGCGGTTCGCAGGCAGAATTCAGTGTCTGACATTCGATCCAGCCTTAAGGTCCAAGTCCAAATACCATGGCTTTGTTGACGGTGAAAAGAAAGAGATAGTTGGACCTGACCTGTGTTACCTCTTTCTACACTAGTTCACACTTTAACGACTGACACACAGGACTTAATTGAATAAATAGCTGACTGTACTGTGGACGGCATTACACGCATCTGATAAAGTTCAAATGCTAGAAGATCAAGAAGAATAAGATTTCGATACGAAGGCCGTGTGGCCAGTACCCTCTGAGCCGTGATAGCTCGCAACTCGGGCGCTCGCCTTTAATTCAACTTAGACGAACACCAGTACCGGCACCAATTGTTGATCTTAAGTGCTGACCACGTGCTCAGCGGTGAAGGAATACATCGCGAGGAAACGTGCACAATTTCGAAACAATAACAGCAAAAACAAAACAGTTCTCGAAGACATTGTAAAGTCCGTCAATCCGCAGTGGGGTCGCGTGCCGGACTCTTCCCCGGTGGCCCCTTCACAGAGGAGGCCTCAGCCCAGTGGTGGGCCAGTTAGAGGCTGCTACTTCACCACGCCCTCTGTCGACGGGGCCCACACCTGCTCAGGTGGTCGGCGAGGTCGCGCAGCGATGCGCCGCAGAGCGTGCACTCCCTCACGCGCACCCCGGTTCGGGGTTCGAGGCCGTGGACGGCGCGCACGTGCTGGTCCACCTGGTCCACGGTGGGCAGGCGAACGTTGCAGTATATGCACGTGGTCTCGTCCAGCGCCTGGATCTCGTGGTGGCCGCCTTAGCCGAGCCGAGGATAGATAAAAATTAATACGAGGCGACCCATTGTTTCATTTTTTTTTTATGTGAAAAAGTGGCAAACGAGCTGGCGACTCACCTGATGTTATGTAATAATAATTTGTTTTAATAATAGTTTGCAATACCCGTTTTGTTGCAATTGCAAATGCGTTGCCACCTTTAAATAATGTGGGCCCCGGCTACCTCACTCTTCAGACGAAACGCAGAAGTGTAACACTTCTACTTTACGCCGGTCTTCTGTGAGGTCGTGGTACTTACCCGGACGGACCAGTACCCATTCGTGCAGTAAAAAAAGATATTGTAGTCGAGCGCCCCGCGCGCTTTACATTGTGCAGTACAGTTCATCGCGAGTAGCTATAGCGAACGCACACTGTCATGTGCATATCTTATACATTTAATAATAAATATTATATACATATAATGTCAGCGTAGTTTACATGTTTTAGTTTCATGTTTAGTTTGTCGTCACTATAGGGAGCCAATGAAACTACTAACCCTATATCTCTATTCAGTTGGACGCTTGCGCGTTCTTATGATAAGTCGAAGTTTACATAAAAATTTATACTTAAGTTCGTAAGTTTCGGAAAGCGGTTTCCGTTGAGAGGAGACCGGCGAGAAACTAAACAGTTGCTGTTTTTTAAAAAGATCAGTTTACAATATGTTATAGGTATATACAGCGTGTCTTTACAATCGCGACAATAAATGAGCACACATATAGAAAATAAATTTTTAAAATTGTATTAAACATTTACATTCTTTAAACATCAATATTTACCGGGTTATTAAATTTTCAAAAACAACGAATTGTAGAACAATCTTACGTATAAAACTGTAACGTAAAGTTCATTTGTAAAGATCACAAAGCATATGAATGAATTTGAAAGAGACAAAACATACTGTTAGAAGGAGAGGCTTGTAATGCGACGCTGTCGCAACGAATGAAAAATTCTCTGAATGTATGAATCAGTCAGTTGTAGTTGGCAGTTGTAGGTGTTACAAATTTTGTTTCTTTTTTACTTAATTAGTTTGTTAGAAAAAAATTTTTTGTAACATTAATATTTTTTTATGACTATTGGCAAGTAGCGTTAGACGTGTGCTCATTTATTTTCGTGATTGTAAAGACACGCTGTATAGTCTTATTTTAGCTTACGTGGGTTTCAATAGTATTAGCTCCACACATTGGCGCGCGTCGTCGAGATATTCCGCAAAAGTGTACTACAAGTCCTTGGGGCGTTTTTTTTATGCGAAAAGTTGCCAAGCGAGCAGACGGTTCACTAATGTCAAGTGAATACCGTCACCCATGGTCATCTGCTACACCCGAAGGTTCCAGATGCGTTGACAACCCTTTGGCGATTGGGCTCCGGCCACCTCACTCACTAGACGAAACGCGAAAGTATGATACTTTCACTTTACGCCGGTCTTCTGAGAGGTCGTACTTACCCGGACGAGCCTACCCATTCGTGCAACAGCCGAGACTGCTGCGTTGCCATACAATTAGAAAAAAAAAAACCGCCTGAGTGCGAGTCGCGCACGAAGGGACCCGTACAATTATCTACATAATAAAAACGAAAAAAAAAATCATGTTTGTTGTATGGGAGCCCCGCTTAAATATTTTTGCATTGTTTTTTTGGTATTTATCGTTATAGCGGAGACAGAAATACATCATCTGTGAAATTTCAACTGTCTAACTATCACGGTTCATAAGATGACACAGCCTGGTGACAGACTGACAGACAGACAGAGTCTTAGTAAGTCTCGTTTCACCCTGTGGGTGCGGAACCCTAAAAAACAACACCGTGCTAAAATGGCTTAGGGCTTTCTTTTGTGAAAGTCGAGTAAAAGTTGTGACTTTTGGGAGAACTCAAAAATATAGTCTGCCCTGGATAAAATGCAAGTCTCAAGTAGGACAAGTCCAGGATTGGAAACTATGGAAGATGGAGTTACGTGGCGGACTCTCACCATCAGCATTTTCAGGATTCGCCGCGAAGTCCGGGGGCTTTCGAGTCTTCTGCTGATCAGAGGTAGTCTCCGCCTCCTCGAGGATGGACTCGTCCAAATACTCCTCGTCTGGAACGAAGGAGGTGACATAAGGAAAATTATTTTAAAAAATTTCAGGATACATTACTAGTTTCAAACTAAGCAAGGCTTGTACTATGGATAGTCGGTAACTGATATCAGTAATACATAGTATATACATGGTTAAACATTATTTTTCTTTAGTAAATAAACCTCTTACGGTGGTAGGGCCACGCAGCAGCACGAATGGGCAGGTCCGTCCGGGTAAGTACCACGACCTCACAAAAGACCAGCGTAAAGTGGAAGTATGACAAATCATTTCGCGTTTCGTCCGGTGAGTGAGGTAGCCGGAGCCCAATTTTCAAAAGGTTGTCAACGCATCTGTAAACCTCGGGTGTGGCAGATGTCCATGGGCGGCAGTATTCACTTAACATCAAGTGAACCGTCTGTTCGTTTGACAACTTTTCGCATAAAAAAATCCCACACTCACCTAGGATGACTTGTAGGGAATACCCTTGGGCATTCAGTCCTTTGTTACCTTGTTTTACTTACTTTTTAAGGCAATAAGGATTAAATGAATAAAAACATATTGTTGATATAAATAACTTGACACCAGAAAAACACACGTTCATCACACGATACTTTTCCAGTAGAGGGATCGAGCCCACACCCTGGCGCACGACGCAGGCCCATTATCCACTACGAGAATCAGATTGCCTAGTCATCATTTTTTTAGTATCATTTTTTCCCTTTAAACAGGACTATGGTAGGGCCACGCAAAAATCTTCGGTGTTGCACTAATAGGCAGGTCCGTCCTGGGAAGTACTACGAACACGCAGAAATAGGCGTGAAGTTTAAGACAAGTAGAACGTTGTTATCACAAAATACAACACCGACTTCTTATACCTTACTCTGTATACATTTTCAATTCGATTTCATCGAGTTATTATTTACTAGAGTAGCTATCCCAACCAAAAGCATTGTACTGTTTTTTTGCGAGTTAAAACTAAAGTTCGCTGCAGCGCTGAAACAATCATTAATCGTCTAACCATACCGTTCAAACATACAGCGCTATATCGCTTCTAATGTTGTTTTCAATTTCAAAACAAGCCGTTGCGTCTAGGACCTGGCACAGACTAAACTAGTTAGAGTTGCTAGCACGTGTTGCAATCTAGTTGACACGTCTCCCTAGTACATAATAACTCAATGTTTGATTTTTAGGAGTTCCCGGACGTGATTCATGGTGCAATAATAATGAAACCAGTACCGGAGTTCTGAAGTAACCGACAAAAAAAATATACCCGAAATGAGAGGTTTTTCAAAAACGTTTCTAAAGTTCTTTTAGTTTTACAATAAATTTATTGCCATACTAAGTGGAGTATTGGCAAATACTATAAATACTACAAAAAACAATACTACTATAAATGGAATTTAGAGAATAATTCAATTACAAATACTAGCTTCGAGTGGCGAGCTCATTATTATTAGCTGCATAGCCAAAAGATAGATGTAAGTTCCTAGTTTATGTCATATATACAGAAAAGTGACGATATGTGAAATAAAGTCGTTACGTGTTTATAATACCGAACATTTTGGTAATATTCACGTGAATCTCTTTCTGAAATTCTCTACATTAGAGTTACTTATTAAACGTAGCCCTCGGGTCACGGTTAAACAATAAAACGTTATTTAATTGTAAATGATGTTTGTTGATATAAATAAAAATGTTTCCATAACTTCTAAAATAAATTCGATAGGTCTAAAGATATAATTACAACCTAATATAATATAATTACAACCTAACTTTACATTTTTGACCCTAAAAATACCTCATAAACCGGTTTAAAATAACGCCGTGAATTTTGTAAAACTACGTTCAAATTGATTTCCGAAAAGAATTATTTAAATAAGGTTAAAATACCTTTAATACTCTGTAGCATTGCTAAATTTTTACTCGTTTGGTTCTTGAATATCACGGCTCTTTCTAATTTCTCAACGCAGTCAGCACAGATGTATTTGTAATCGTTTGAAACCTAAAACAATTTATACATTTTCAACATCGTTATGTATTTAAAATAGAATGTTTTGCAATTTTTTAACCATATAAAATCAATTATTAAATTATACAATTCGAGATTAATAAAATAGAAGTAAATAATGTAAACATAACCTTTATATCAAAACATGCTTTTAACATTTGCGCGTAGGTTTCTTCATTTTCGGCGTAAACAGCAAATAGGTCGCATAAATCTTTATTATTCATACAACTGATACAACCTACAAAATCCTCTTCCTCCTCCATTGTTGTACTTTTAATTTAACTATTAACAATGGAAAGAGGATTCACATATTCGTAATTTAATTTTAAACAAAAGAACATCATTTTATTTTTTGAAAATTTATTGAAGTTCTTAGAGCCCAAGTATTTCCTAAACACAAAAACATAGGTAAATTTTACCATGCATTTTTATACAATTAGTCATATAATTAAAAAAAAATATATTGTTAATAATTATTTAAATAATATCACTTTACCCCCAGCATTACCATGATTATCGTAATCGTATTTTAAATTAGACTAAAATAGAGCTACATTAGAGAAGATGTGTTTTAATGTAGATAAATCGATTTAAATCGTAAAGAACCAATTTTTTTCATATTATATACATATAGAAATCCGAAAGATTAAAATATTAAAAAAAATTGTATATGCTTTAAAGATTTCAACTTTTACTATATTTGCACGTGCATTTTATTATAATTGTACTATACATATATGTATATGTATACTTGCAACTAACATTCGGCTATTATTTCCCATTTGACCATTATTAATATTAACTAATATTCATTATTAATATTAAATAATATTCAACTAACGTGTTTTGTACCCATTTAATGGGTCTAAGCACGTTATTCATTTATTTTATAATAATGTAATTTTTCTTACATTAAACTGTGTATTTTTTTGATTTCAGATTTCCGTTATTATAATCTAGAATTAAAAGCTTATAAGAGCACAAAGACTATTTTTTCTACATTTTTAAGTAAAACATTATTACCCTCGGCTTAGTTGGTGAGTAGCTGAAGAATGCGTGAGGAAGCGTAACGGAAAGTGTGGTCGACGTCACGAAAAGTTTAATGGTACGAGAACGGCGATTTCTTATTATTTCGTAGTTCAGTACATTAAATATTCTACGTTTAAAGAGAATAAAATTGTAAATTTATTTTTAAAGTTTAGATTTTTTTTAATTCAAAAACTGGCTAGCACTTGACTGCCATCCCACCTGATGGTAAGTGGCGATGCAGCCGTTGATGGTAAGCGCGCTAACTCAGTAGAAACCTATTCACTCTTGCCTTGACAATTTTGGGGGTTTTCGGGTGAATAATAACAAAGTATGGCAGGAAGTGACAGACTGAAAAGATAAGTTTTACTTCAGTTGTGTGGTCTAAAGCACACTCTTTTTTAAACAGTATAGTTTACTTCCTTTATTTCTAAACGACACTCAGCCATTTTAGTTTTCCTCGAAGTATGTCCATTGAAGTTTTTTTGCAATCGATTATTATTACTGAGACTTTAAAGTATTTTAATTTTTAAGTACATAATAAAAAATTAAAAGGCGTGCTTGGTTGCGTGTTCAAACTAAATTTGTTAAAACACAGCACGGAGTGGAAGGGATGTAAGTACAGTAAACAAATTAGAAAGAATAATGTTGATACAAGTTTTTCTGCCAAGCGCTGGCTGAATACTTTTACCGAATATTCTTGTATTCGGTTTCAGCCAGGAAGCCCGTCTTATACTCGGTATTCGGCAGGTGACCGAATGTACTATTAATTTGTTTGTAAGTCTACTCTAAATATCAATTATAATCAAAGGTTCCTTGTGGGTAGGTTAGCAGTAAAAGTTAATAAAACTTAAAAGTGATTCAAAAATAGCAGTTTAGTATTGAATTATTTGTAAATATAAATAGTCAATGAATGATTGAGCTAACAAGAGTGTGAAGTTATATTATAATAAATATATAAATTAAGACTTAATGGAGCTATATATTGTAATAAAGTTAGCTTTTATAGCTAAAGTTTTGACTTGCATTGCAGTAGAAGAGCTAAATTTAAAAACATGCATTATTATCAAATTATTTTAGTATTTAATTTTTTTTTCTTTTTAATATGATAATTTTTTTCTCGTCATAATAGCTCGGTTCTTAATTCACTTAAATCGATTTGGCATTGTAATGTTGACAGTACTATTTTGAATCTGTTTCTGTTTATGATAAGGATTTTATTATAATCTGTGGTTGTTTTTGAGATGTGTAAACAATAACATTAAGCATTTGGTGTACGGACTGATTATAATTTTATGCGATACGAGAATAGAAAGTCGTCGAGCCAAGTTGTTTGTGTGCGCCTCTTGTCGGGGCCAATGACCAGCAAGAGAAAAAAAATCGAATACATGTTCTTACAACTAGGCTTTCTAGTAATATAATGTAGTGTTGTGAACATTTTTTTTCTTCTAATTTTTCCAATATTCGGCATTATGAAGTTTAAAATCGACAAAAGGCTACTGCCTGTAAAGGCGCATTTTTTCTTCTTCTTTGCTGGTGAGTCTTAATTTTTAATATAAATCTTTTTCCATTTAGGTACTAATATAATATTGATGTTTCATTCACTATTTATAGAATGTATATGAAATATTTAGTTTAATGAACAAACACCATCCAGAAATTTTAGGATTAACTATACAGATTAAAAACAGTATTAGAAGTATTTTTCAAGAATACATTTTCCTAAGAGTCACTAATACTAAAGCTAATAATTTTTAACAAAAAAAACCTGACTTCAATCAGATAATTAAAAAAAATTGTTAATACCTATAACATTCAATGATGGCCCTCGATTTTTTCGGGACGCCATTATCGGATCCGGGTTTCCTTATCATGGTACCACCCTTGAGATATCTCCTTGCCAACAAAAAAAGAATCATCAAAATCGGTTCATAAACGACGAAAAAAAAATAAAAATATATACGGTCGAATTGAGAAACTTCCTACTTTTTTGAAGTCTTTTAAAAATCAATTCAATATAAAATTTATTCTATATACAGGCTAATATCTCTTGAGTAATTTGTCTGAATAAATGTCTACACAGTAATATGTTTGCCAAACAATATTGTTATAGTAAAATGTAATAATGGGATTATAGTGTTGAAAATAATATATTTACCATTTACATTTACAACACAAACATTATATTACAGCTAAATATATGTTTGTATACCGTAAATGTGCCCCATTTTGCTTTTATTGATATAAAAATAGGTTAATGATTTCATTGAAATTACATTTGAGATTTGGTGAACAACCCATTCTATAATGCTCCAATTGATAAAGAAAATATAAAGTAGTATGATGCTAGGATAGAGTAGACATATTTTTATATTGTAGATTATTATATTGGCATAGAGTATACAGTAAATTATTTCAATCATGTTTTAATTAACTCTGGGAAGTTATTTATATTTAAAAACAATAATTTACATTTTTAAGCCAATTTTTAATTTTTATTTTTAATTATAAATTTATATTTAAAAATAAAAAAAATAACATTATTATAAATCAATTATGCATGTTCCGAGGAACACCAATCATTTGAGTGAAGAAAAAAACAATCACCAAATGTTTAAAAGAAACTATAAAATTCAAAGAAAAAACAAGTTAGTTGAGTTGTGGATTGGGTTATCAACTTTTTAATTGACAATTTAACAAAATGAACTTTCAGTGTCTGTCAGCTAAGTTACGCTGTTGCATAACTTAGCTCTAACTGTTGTTATCAATATACTTTGATGGTCAATTTTATTAATTGAGCATTGAACCAGCTATTTCTTTGTACTGCAAAGATTGATGAGCATATGACTTGACACAGAGCTTCATATTTTTATTAATCTTGTGAATACTGAATTATGTTAGCCGTTGTTTTAACTTAAACTCTGAAGATTTTAAAGTTGTGCTTTGATGTTTACGTGAAGACTTAACTGTCAGCCTTTATATGTATAACTCAATATAGAACAGAATTCTATAATTTGTATTTTTGGAATAAGAGTCTGTTTAAAAATGTACTGAAACAATAACACATTGCCATGTTATTAATTTTATAATTGATTGTAGGTCACTATGTAGTAATTCGGACAGTTAATTACTGATTAAAATTACTTATTAGTTATGATAAAAATTACTTATTACTTATTAAATACAATGATAAAAGCAATTGATGAAAGATATTGTTTTCAATTTCCATGTGTTCTGCATTTCAACACAAAGGTCATGGGAAAATTTAATTACAAAGGCCAATGACCTCTCCCTCCTATATCTATTTTTCTTATCTTTATAAAGTTATGATAATTGCTTATCTAAAATGGTTGTACCTATACGAATGATACTGGTCGCCCAACTTTGAATATTCGACCCTAATTCATCGATTGATTTATGTATGTAAAACATCCTTACATCACAGGTTAATGTTATAAATATAATACAATAGATCGCAGCGGTCGATGGGACTTACAACCTTCAACACAAAATCCCTACCGCCCAACTGCTATACAGGCGTCATTGTTTACATAGACTGGCGGATTTATCTATTTACAAAAATGTTTCTTACAGGCACGTACTTTGTCGTTTGTGTCGCGCAGTGTCTTACGCCCTGCAATTACTTGATAAATACGCGACAGTGCCGTGATAAAAGTGAATAAAAAGCGATAGTGCCGTGATAAAAGGTAATAGAACGTGATAGACTAAATCAACAACGAACGAGGGGATCAATGCCGCACAATCCCCATGTACCGCAGTATTTTGTACGAAAGTAAAAAAGTAAAGTAATAATGATTTAAATTTTATATGAGAACGACAAGTCAATTAGCGACCGATAAACCTGAGAATCACGGCCGTAAGCCCTAAGTAGCTTGTCGCGTAAACTAGGGATGTCGGAAGCGAAGAAGGACATCGATATATCGATGTATCGCTATTTATTATAATATCAATATCGACCTTGATATATCGGTAAACTTTTCAGCCTACGAGCAAAAAAATAAAAGTAAAAAAAAGTAAAGTAACAGCCTATACATGTCCCACTGCTGGGCAAAGGCCTCCTCTATACAGAGGGTATCAGGGCATAGTCCACCACGCGGCCCCACTGCGGATTGGCGAACTCCACATATTTTCGAAATATATTTTTTTTTGTTATTATTTCGAAAATATGCAGGTTTTCTCACGATGTTTTTCTTTACCGCGGATCACGTGATAAGTCAGCACTTAAAGTTAAAAACTTCATTGGTGCCGGCACCGGGGATCGAACTCAGGTTGCTCGAGTATATTGAATTAAAGGCGAGCGCCCGGACAATGAGCTATCACGGCTCTCATTAAATAAAAAAAATAGGGTAGGCAAAATTGGAAAATATCAAAAACGAAACATATTAATAATTAATAAATTTTATTATGTTTTTGGCCAGAAGGCAAGATGTCAATTATTTAATGCAACTTCCGGATAAGTGCTCTGTGCCGGATTCGAATTAGAAAAAATATCGTTTTGATACAACTTTTGATATTGAATTTTTTGTATCGATATAAAGTAAAGTAACAGCCTTTAAGGCGCTGTATGCAGTGAATTTTTAACAATTTGGGTGGTGAAGTATGAGGAAGCCGAGGAGGGGTAACGCCGCTTAGCGGCGCGCAGCGCGCGAGTTTCGTCGACGCGCCGCTGGACCAAATATTCATTTTACCTAGTGTGTGTGTGTAGTGATGAGCCGTAGGATACTATCGATAGTATCATGGAAGGCTTTTCTCTTTTATAGACCATGATTGTATTTTACTTTTATATTATAATAGGAATAATAATAAACAAACAAATATAATCATAAATCTTCTTCCTGTTTATTATTACTTTTTTAATTAAATGGAAAAGGAATTGATTTAAAATACATCTTAAAGTCAAATAAATTAATAAAGGCAAATTACTTATGATTATTATTTTTTGTTTTTATGGTTTATTGTGTCATTTTTAAAGAAATGGCTCATAAAATTTTTGCAGAAATTACGAATACAACTTTTTTTATTACATTTTTTATATATTAGGAATTTTAATTTATCCCTTAAATGTTCAAGATTTACTATCTCAACTAAAATGAAATTTAAAAACTATCGATAAAATCTTTATTTGTATCGATAAACGACAGCAATTATACGAAGAATCAAAATTTTGTCACTTTCCACAGACCTCGCGTAGCCTCTTGGTCCGAGCGTCATACACAACGGTAAACTATACAGCAATAGTTTACCAAAGTTCAAACCCTCATCGAGTGGAGTTGTATTATTATAATATTTTCACGTTTAATTTTTTAACCAACTAATTATTTTGTTTTTATTTTATAAAATGGCTCAATTTGGGAAATAAACAAATGAATAAAAAAATTATAAAACAATTATTTTTCGTGTATAAGATACATTTTCGTTTTAGGGTGAAAAATTAAATATTTTAATAAAAAAATAGATGACGTTAAAAATTTTAATACTAAAAGTTGGTTTATTTACTTATAGATTGTTCTCCAACTGTTTCAACTTTGAGCAAATACAATAATATTTCGATGTAATTATTTATGAAAATAAAAAAATAACAAAAATTAAATGGTAATTAAGAAATACTTCCAAATAAGAAAATCAAAAATAAGTGCATCAAAAAATTTCGGTATTTGAACCCAATCCATAAAGAATGATGGTCCTATACACCGTATGTATAGGACTGATAGACCAATCAATCACGAGATAAGACATTGAAATGATGCTTTAAATAAATAAATTAACAACTGTTAATACATACAAACAAATTATAAATACGAAATATGTGAATATATATTTTTTAGTTTCGTGTTTTTTAAGCTATAATAAAATTAAAAGTCTCAATAATAAATAAATACGAAACATATTTCGTAACGGTGAGCGGGCGATGAGCGGCATAAGTCCATCTAGCAAGGCGCCTCAGCGCTCTCTGTTTAACGTGTGGAATGGAATTGGAAGAGAGCGGAAACAACGCCGCGATGGCGCGGTGTTTTGGCCATCGCGTTCGAATTAATTTTAATGAATTAAATTAATATTTACAAATATCTTACTTCAATCAACAAATTAAAACAACAATCCTTTTAATCCTTTTTATTAATATATTCTACAACACTGATATTAATTTCATTATGATTTGTTGATGTACTACGTTCATTTTTGGACTTGAATTTCTCTTTTAGAGGTAGTTTCATGATTTTTTTCTATCGAGAAAATATATCGAGAATATGTTTTCATTTCAACAAGGTTCCATTAGAGTGTACGATCAAGATTAACATATATTTTTTTTGCTGCTATAAAATGTGTAGATTTTGCTAAAAAATCTTTTGAAAAACCTATTTTACTGCAAACAGCGCCTTAAATGTGCCACTGCAGGGCAGAGGCCTCCTCGTTACAGAGGGTATCCGGGCATAATCCACCACGCGGCCCCACTTCGGATTGGCGGACTTCACATACTTTTGAAATATATTCTTTTCCTTATAATTTCGAAAATATGC